AATTCGAGCGCAAAGTGACGTAGTTGTAAACAGTTGTTGACTTTTATTTTTGATTTACGATACCAGATGTTTCTTTTGAAATCTCCAGATAGCTAGCAATAGCCATATGTTGATGAAATATGATACGAACTTGGCAACTAAGATATACTTTTTGGTTTTTGAGGGAACTATATACTGATTATATGCTCAGAAGGGAGGTTTTTGATAATATAACAAAGCAGTTTCTAGGAAAAACTTGGAAATGAATCAACTGGCCGATTTTGAAGACGTCTCTCCGAAATTCGACATTTTTTCTACTTTAGTCGAATGTTCACAACTTTACTATAAGCGATCAATTAAACATTAAACCGAATGAGCATTCTCTTTTAGTTCTCTCTATTCGCCGCATTTGTGGGCGGAGCTTGTCGAGCTCTAATCTGTCTTTGATGTAATAACCCTTTCACTCTCAATTCTGAGGTGCACCATTTAAGCTCCGCTCACTAATGCTTAGTAATCTCCATGTCCCGTCCGGTTTTTCTGATTTTGCCTATACCTTATTCGAATGGTAACGCAAATCATAAAAACCCGATGGTATCTTGGAGTGACTTCAAATAATCAAGCAGCGAGCTTCTCAATTCTGAGCAATATTCCTGGTGGCTGACAAGGTGACTTGTGAGATTGTGTACTTCACCAACAATCTTGTAATTAACTTAACTAAGAAATATTATACGAATTGCTTGTTATTATGGGAATGTTTTTATATGGAAATGTTTTAATAACCCTTTTTCAGACTTGTGTTGTGTTCAGAACTAGCCGATTATTCTTTATTCAATTTGCTAAATTTAATAGAAATTAATTACTTTGACGATATCCACATATGTCTTTAGTTAGCATATAACCAATATCGGTCCAATATGCAATCTACGCCTCCCAAATAGCCTTTAATGGTGTGCCTAATTATGATATTTGAATTAACTGCACCTGGCGCACTTTCTTTGGCTAGCCGACTACGCAAAAACTAGGTATAGCATAATTGCAATATCTTCTATAATAAGAAATATTATAAGTAACCGCAATAATCGCGATTATTTTTGCAAGTTTAGGGCTTCGGCGGAAATATTTTTTGCATTTTATAAAATTTTATCTAAAACTTTTATTCATTTAATTATTTGACGGGCAACAGGTTGGCGGCGACCGCGCGAATGGAAGGCTCTATTCAATTTTCTAAAATATCAAACCAAAGATGTTGGTTACCACCGGATTATACATATAATAAACTTTTTCTCGGCACCAGATTGTCCCTTTATAATAAGAAAATAGTTGAGAATGTTTGGTGGAATATTCAAATTTGCTCCAAACTCCCCATCCAGTTTTTAGGATCCTCGATACCATTCTGCTTTCAAGGTATAAGAGGGACTAAAAACCAGACGGGGGGAAATGGAAAAGGAAGTGAAGGCGGATTGAGATTGAATGATGCGTCAACGGACCTTTCAATAAGGGAAATAGTGTCGTTACTGTGGGAGACTGAGAACAAAATGATATACTTTGAGATTTTAGAAGGATATTGAAGACGGGATTGAGCTCAGCCAGCTCATGCTTCCAAAAGAAAACCTTTTCCTAGATTAAGCGACACAACGAAGGAATTATGCGGATATGCCATGGCAATTCATAAACGCCACATCGAAAATTCCGAATTCAAGCAAATCGAAATATAAGTCTTAACGCCTTACCCCGCACAATTTTGCTGTGATTATATATTCAAAACATTATTTTTAAGGTGTTTGAAGGTGCTGGAAAATATAGACATAATTTTTTTAAATAGGGACCATCAAAATATTATAAATTTTCTTTAGTATATCATCGGAATGGACAGTTTTTTATTGGATAACGAATTGGTACTTTTTAAGTACAGAATTATCGAATAATCGCGATTGGATTCGGTCATTCGGTAAGCTTAAAGCACGTATTTTTTTCAATTACAGACCGATTTGTCAAAATAATGAAAAACATTTTCAGCGGCAACATCTTTGAGGTTCCCAAGTTTGGTTCACTTTGCATAGACTGCAAAAGTTATAAGTTCCATCCGGCTACGATGTCGGTTTCAATGGCCAAAGGATTCAGAGCTTGTTGGAGTGTATATCCAGCGATGTAATATCTTCAATACACATCCGACACCATGTCGAAAAGAGGAATTGCCTTTTCATTCGCTTTTTTAGAACAGAATATTTGCATATGTTCAAAAATTAACGAATTTGAAGAATTTTAACGGCACCAAAATTTGTAAATTATTATTATCCTTTAATTTGTATTCCTTTTGTATTATTATAGTATAGATTGAAATTGATCCAAACATTTAATCGGTCATTTGAAATTCGTTGGGTCTTCGCAATATGAATCACTAAAAATTGCGAAACAATGCTAGTCAAAATATCAAAATAATTGAGAGTGTCGACCAATCACAAGCGTCGTGATATATTATAACACTGTTTCACTTTTCATTTCATATATTTCCCCAAAGAGTTGCTTCGTTTTATTTCTTCGAAACAATTGAAATTGATTTTCACAATTCTATTGTGCGTTTCAGCTTCATACCCACAATATTGAGACTGCCATTTTTATTTTTTCTACTTGTAAGATTTGAGCTATTCAATACTGGGCCCATATCATAAAATCAATCCGCACGAAATACGAAACCATAAATTAATTTCGAGTGCGAGTTTTACTAAGATTAACCTTTATTAGCAATTTGCTCGTTGCATGGAAAGGTTGCCGTAAATTGAATCTGTGCTGCCCCGCATAATCATCATCAGCCAGCTGCCCTTTTATGGCGTTTTCAAGCATGTCCATTGTTCATTTTTACGTGAAAAGTAGGCGTGATATACAAACAGGGCGTTATGCTCTCAAAAGAGCATCGTCTTTTAGAAAATTTCTTAATTTGTTCAAAAGTTTAAAAATTTAGAGTATACAGCAAAGGCGCATGCGAAAATGTTTTTTTCCCGATCAACATATGTGAATGAATTTGAATTAAATTTTTCTAATTATAGCTTTGGGAACAATGTTTTTTAAAAAGATAATTTTTTTATACGGAATTGTCTTTCCCACTTTCAAGTGAGTTCATATGAGATGTATTTTTCAATGGGATTCGTATTATTTTCTGAAATTGTTCTTGAACTATCCATACAGTGCCGAAAGCAGTATATCACTATTTCCAAATAATAGATGAATGGTTCTCAGAATATTAAGAGGGGATTCGAATTGACTCGATGACCTCATCAGGTTTTTAGGGGCCACGGCACCATTCTGATTCGAGGTAAATAAGAAATATCATATCCGGACATGAAAATGGAAATTCACTATTTATATAAAGCCTAGTAGTCGGTATTTTCGGGTATTAGGTTGAATGATAATGAATTTGAAGAGTGATAATAGACAATGAGTTCGACTGACTGCATCCGTCTCGACCCTGAGATATCGATGGGCCAAAGAACGTATTGGCTAATTACCCTGCGAGAAACCCATCCTTATGTATTATTGCTATTACCTAGTAATAATTTTTCTTATTAAACCAATATTTAAATTCAAATTGAAATTTTTTCAATGCGTTTCGTTATCAATTCTGTGTTACAGCGCAAAATTGTTAACTACAAAAATTAAAAAAAAAAACACTATTAGTTTCAAATTTTGTTGGTTATTTTGTTTAATATATGCTATCCTGCAAGAAAAATGTTATCCTTTTATCAAAATGTCACAAATTTATTTATTCATAAAATATAAGAGGCAATGTCTAAAAACCTCTTAATGTCTTTTCTTTCGAATCATTATGATGCAATTAATAAATTGATCGGGAGCTAAAAATTATGCAAGAAATAGAGTATAGGAAATGCCCTATAATTAAAATAATTGCGCATAGGTCATGTAAGGCATAAGTTAATAAATTAATAATTTAATATTGTTCATAAATTGAAAAAAAAATGCATTTCTGGAATTAGGAATTATTAAAACGAGCCGATCGAAAATACTCGTCAAAATGCTGTGAGATACGACGATAGAGAAGTGACATTTCTATTTGCAACAACTGAAATTTTCAGTTTTGTTTTTAAGAATGTTAAAAAAAAGGTTCCTCACCGTCACTCTATTTATATCACCAACATCGCGATCGAACTCGTCGGCGCATCGGCGTAAAGCATCAAATAGATCAGTAAATTGAGTGACATAGTCGGAGAAGTTCGGACAAATAATTCCACCGCGAAGGCGATTGATAGCGTTTAAATAATACTGAAAATTTGCATGTTTAAACGATATAATTTAAATTTTCTTTACAATTTTATTTCTGTACGAGCATATTTGGTTGTCAATGAGTGCTCTATACAATATGCTAGTTTGATGATTGAAAGACTGCATTTTCGTAGACTAATGGATCTGAAAGTTATATAGGTATTAAATAAGTTGGGCGTCATTATGACAGTTTAAAGCAAATGGTATAAAAAATCGGATACCGATAATCAAATTAGCGTGTGAAGAGCATATATTATAAACAAATGAATGATACTGCGACAAACTTCTTCCGATGACCCGAGTTGCTCAATAAGTGACATGTGGGCTCTTATAAACATTTTCAAATCGTTCTCGGAAAGGATATATTTCAAAAGATCAATGATTTATGCAATTTTATAAGATTGTGCTCTTATAAACAATTTTTGGACGTGGTTAAATCATTGATATTAATTAGTTTATTTGCTATAATTTTTTTTGAATTTTCCAGAAGTAAGGGATGTGAAAACTTCATTAACTAAATATTTGGAATTCTATGGTATTTTATAGAAGAATTTTGATATCAATACCAGATTTAATATTTGTTTCATTATATTTTCTGGAATATATCCAATAAAGTTTGCGATATGCATAGTTTTATCGATTTTCAGATTTGTTCGAAATTCCAAATTTTCATAGTTGTCATTAAAATTATTGTATCTCCAAGTCAACTCATTCGTCATTTTTCTATAATTATTTCATTTAAAGCAATGGACAGAAGTTGTGAGGATGTTTGGCTAGAAATGTTTCAAGAAATCCGCAACTATGCCGTTCTCGTGGTTTGTTGTATCATTGAAAATATTCGCTTAATTGTGATTTTCAGCAAAATTTGCCAATGACCGAGGAAACTGCAAAACTCGTCCGTGACGCGAATGTGGTCTTCACGTACATATTCCGTTGCAGAGCCAATTGCATGATCAATCGTCATTATCACAACATAGTTGAAGTAATGCATTTCAATTGATTGCAAATAATTATCTCAATTGCAGTTGTGGATTATATGCCACAAGTCGATGCTTTCGGTAATGCGCAACTTCATCCAAAAGGCTCAAGACGAGAAAATGGATGAATGAGTGAACCTTGTCGTTTTTTGAATGAATAAAACAACAAATATTTTAGTTGGTTTCCAAAGTCTAAGTTAAAAGAAAAATTCCATTCATCTCGTCTGCCCACAAGAAAACCTGTGATAATCCAAATCACGAAGTTATATGATTTTTTTGAGACTATGTTGTCGTCGACGTTGATCTGAAGGAATTTGATTTTCTATATTAAAATAACATTTCAGATTGTCAAAAGAGATGAAATTTCTCAGTATTGTCGTAAATGAATCCGTTCATGTTTTGCATTGCCAGTAAGTTTGAAGACGTTGTCAAACCAAAGATCATTACGTATTGGACTTTTAAGAGTTTTCAACTAAGTCCAATCAATATTAAAATATCACATCGTAAATATTTCTTATTTAAACCTGAATTTATTAATATTTATTTGTGCATGTATTCATTCAAATCGATATTCTAACCCCTCTAATAAATAGTGAATTCTAGCTTTTGCCAATTTCACCCTAAAAGGAGACACGCTTTCTTTGAAGGTGTGACAGGTGCTACAAATATCATAATTGGACAATTAACTATATCTATATTATTGACAGCCCTTTTGCAGACGAGAAGCCGCCAAATGGATTTAAAGGTTTATCCCAGTTTAATTGAGGTCCGCTATGGTCACGAAGGATTTATGTGTGATTTCAAATTTCTCACTTTGTTTCTTGCTATTTATAAAATACTCATTATTTCAGCTACGACATTGACTCAAATATAAACGTATATCCAAACGGACCAAGCTCTTCCGTAACAAGAATCAAAAGCAAAAATTGTGGTTGTGAGATCTGGTTTACAATGAAGCTTGACGTTTTATGTGCAGCTGTTTCATCTGGACACAACGGATATACATAAAATAATAATAATAAGTATTCACTACTTACTATACGTATATTTTTCATCGCGCAAGACTATATCGGTTTATAAGTTGTTTGAAAGCCAATCTCTTTGGGAGCTCCAACATAATGCATCAGATAGAAAATTTTTATCATGTGTATTTTATCCCAAATTTCAATTCAACATTACCATTTCCATTTCCTCAAAAATACGAATCCTTTAAGAAATATTATTATTTTTGAAATTTGACCATTAGGTTGATTATCCTTGTATCTGAAGTTCTCGTTTTTTCTTATCAAAAAAACTAATCACTACTTTATTTTTGAAGCTTTTAGAATTGTGTTCTGATTGAAAACTAACGATTTCGTTTTTTTTTGATTTAGTTAATGTCATATTGTTCTGCAAATATTCGTTTAGTCCACGGCGGTACTCGAACCGCATTCCCGGTTCCGGAATCTGATACCCTATCCATTAGGCCACGCCGGCGCCGGAAGACTATAGAGTAAAAGCATTATATATTGTATATATATATATGTAATAATTCGGCAAATGGTCCCCTACTGTTTCTCAGAGCATGATGGCGCGTCAGTGGTAAAGAACGTAAAATGCTTTCCGATGAATTACTTGATATATTATGAATTTAACATTTTTGAATACTTTGCTTGCAAAAAACGTTTATAAAATTCACAAGATCATTGTAAGCCGCATCCATTGTTGTGTCTAAATACAAATTGAAAATTTTCAGACTTCTCAAAAATATCTAAAAAATCACCCAATCATTATTTGTTATCAGATGTGTCAATTGTTTTTGCACATTAAACAATCAAATATGAATAATAAACAATAAAAAACTAAACATTTTTAGTTGAAAATGCGAATAATGAGTAATCGACTGTAAAGACATTTCTATAATGTTTCTGATTCAACGTTTTGAGTCATCCGAATCGGCGGAGCGTGTCTTCATCAAAATATTAACAAGTGATTAATATATACATTCTTTTGTCAATTGTATTTCCTTGTCTCTCACCAAACCTATTTAATGAGCTGGTGTTGTACGAACAATGGGGAGGTAGTTAAACTCCCCCCACCCCATTTCACCAATTTGGGAGAATGAGCAGTAAGAATTAATCAGTAGTCAATTTCATATTATTTTCAATTTTTAGCAGCGACAATGACCACTTTGGGAGAAAATGAAACAAGGGCAGGTGAGTATTTTTCTAATATTTATTCAAGCAATAAAACATCTCAAGGGTTTAATGATCATCTCAAGCTCTTCAAAATATCCTAACACGGTATTAAATTTTTTTCGATTGCCGGACATCGACTATAGGATGTCTACAATAAGCATATTGGATTACTATAATATATGGAGATATTAGAATTAGTGACAACCCGTATAAATGTTTGCAGTAGGGCCGGTTGTAAAATAAAAGCTTACAATATAATTGTATATACATATATAGCCTTACTGTTTTTTTTCAAATTAGAAACCTCTTTATCGAAAAAAAAAAAGCATTTTAAATTACTTTCAGGTTACCCGATAATGGGAATACTAGTCTACATGATTTAGTGTCCCTGCGCGGGAAACTATCATAGGCTTGATAAAGGTATATTAAATTTTTTGTATAGTTTGAAAGGCGTATTCTAATTTTACAGTGTCACATTTCACAGAGGATTGTCTGTGACAATTAAAATAATTTTTGCTGTTGATTTGTTCAATAAAATGCTTTATGCACGCGGTGTTTCGTCAGACGAAATGAAAATACTTCTTATTGGGCTTTTTAATTTTTTCATCAAATTAAAAAAAATGACTTGGCAAATAGCAATGAAATCTATTCAAAAAAAGCAATTTTAAAGATTCTTGTTTTGTGTTTTTAAGAATCATAAAAAATATAAGTGTCGGAATGTTTTTAATACTCACAAACCAATATTTTGAAAAAGAAACGTCTCGCCGTAGCGAATGAAATTTGATTCTAAAATTAACTTTTTATTATTCGCATGCCCATGTAAACTACCTTTTCGTAAAAGATAATTTAGATCTGTCAATACGATATGGTTAATCGAAAAAGTTTAAATATATAACAATACTTTTTTATTCAAAATTAAACAAGATGCAATAACAACTTTTGAAATATTCGAAACCCAAAATCAAAATTCAACGTGTCAACTTAAGCTTCAAAAATTTGAGAAAAAGAACAGAGCAAATTGAATTGCAGTACGTGTTAATTTTGAATGATTTAAAAATGCACAGTCAAATCATTTTCATCGCCTCAAAGTCCGAGTTCAGTTTTTCGATGTCACTTGTTTCACCTTCACCTTCATCTTCCACATTTTCCTCATCCTCCTCATCCTCTTCCTCTTCCTCGCCTTCCTCGTCTTCTTCCACGATCGGTGCTTGACTAGTACTTGGTTCCCCGTGCGCAGCTGTTCTGTGAGCCCTCTCCCAAATCCTCATGTATGGCTCCTCCATGAACAACATTTCGCGCATTTTCTCATCATGATCTTGTTTGAAGCGAAACAGCGTTAAAGCTGATTGTTGGACCAGCATCTGCAATCAAAATGTGTCGATACCACTACAATATTCAATTAAATCTTACACGAGCCCTAGTATGATCGCAACGGCTTTCCTTGCAATTTTTAAGCGTCTGATATAAAAGCGAACGTTGTCGACCTATATCCTCAACGCATTTCTTGAGTCCCACTGATGTTTTATGAAAGAAGGTTTCCTCCTCTTCCATAATATTGTGCTGAAAATAGGTGTCTTTAAAAAAATCGATTTCGAAAAATTCATAATACCAAAGTGAGCATCTGCTCGTCCGTCTGGTTATTGCATTCTTGAAGAACCTTGATACATTTCAATGGTTGCGCAGAAGAAGCCATCATTTGGTTGGTAAAGAGCTGGGGCTGTAAAATTCATATTTTGGCTGATAATTAAGTATTGGTGAAAAACGATTGGCTGACAGATTATGATTGAGGCGATCATCATAAATTGGAATGCATGCTCACAATGTGCAATAGTTATCTAAAAAAAATCATGATGAGGTTGATCAGATCAGCTGTCACTATTATTTAATTTTGAATTTTATTATTTTTCCCAGTAAAATTGGAAATTGAAAGCTCTAATTCGAAAAACTCTTGTATAAAAAATCGAAATTTCGAAAATCTTTGCAATTTTCCCATAAATGCGCCAAGACGGTTAATGATACACGCAAATGGGAGTATTAATTACCATGCCATTATCATTACCATAAAATTAATTATGTCATTATTTTTTATGTCCTGATCATCAAGAAGCTGCTGAATACGCTTTAAAAACTGCTGATTGAAAAAATACTTTATTCCTATTTTGGGCAACATCAAAAAATTAGTTAATTTTGACTATCAAAAATGAAAAAAAAAAGGAAAAATTAAATGAAATACTAATTTAAAATAGATTGACAGAGCTTTGATTCGAAAGAAATGACAAAAATTCATGACAAATGGGTTGAATTCGAACTTCGAGCGTATTGTTTCAATAGAAAAATAACAATAGCGCTCTAATGAACGCCTATTCAAACAACGAAAACATCTGGTGGGAAAATTCAAAAATTTGAAATTTACAACTGTCACGTGCACCTGTTCCAAAAATATTTAAAATTTTAAACAAATTTCTGACCACGAGCATTTCGAGAATAAATTTGTGAACGAAGATGAGAATCGAGAAATCGTTCCACTCATAAGTACCTGAAATACGCTTTTTTTCCATTCAATCTGAAACGAGATATCTTGCAGTCATTCGGGATATATAGATATCGCCAATTAACTCAGCCAAATGAGTGGCACAACCACTCTAATTTGGGTGGAAAAATTTCACTGCCAAAAAAATAGTTTATGCACCAATTAGTACTCTTAGAGTTATTTCTACAATTTTTCTCTAATACGTTTGGTCTGTATGCATTTATTTAGCGTTTTATGAAGGCTTTAAACCAAACATTAACTTCTCATGTAGTAGATGGACTAATTTTTATGAACATTATACATATATTTTATGAGTAGAGCGTAATTGTTATAGCGTTGTGCAAATGACATAAAAAATCGGATACCGATAATCAAATTAGCGTAACAGTGGGAAGAGCATATATTATAAACAAATGAATGATACTGCGAATAACTTCTTCCGATGACCCGAGTTGCTCAATAAGTGACATATGGGCTCTTATAAGCAATTTTCAAATCGTTCTCAGAAAGGTTATATTTCAAAAGATCAATGATTTATGCCATTTTATAAAATTGTGCTGTGCAAATTTTGAGAAAACTGGAAAAAGATCAAATTAAAAAAATTTTTTGATAGCTTTTTAGGTGTTTTGAGTTATTTTCTTCAAATTAAACTTTAATAGATTTCAAATTTGATAAACTCTACTATTATAGCATTATAACTGTACTATACTAACAAGATAATTAAAAACACAAACTCATTTCCTTGGCTAAAATTGATCTTGATCGACAAAACTCGCGCAAAATAGTCATTTTACCGTGCTTTTTCTGTTTCAGAACTCTGTGCATTCTCAATCGCATGAGATAGTTGAAACTGATATTGTTATACATTGTCAGTTTTTGCGAAACCTACCGTAGAAGCGTAGAAATTGCTGCCGCTCACGCCATCAGTAACAATGAAAAACTGTGAATTTTTTGAAAGAAATTCGAATAAGTAAAATTGCATCAATTTATAATAAGAAGAAAACGATATAATAGCAGACAATTTCAATTTTAAGCTTGTTGCGATCAAGAGAGAATAAGAAGCATTATAGAAAAAAATGAGAGAGTCTGAAAAGAGGTTCAAGTAATATTCAGAAATCTCAAGGCAAAAGTAATTAAGGTTTAATTAATTTGGCTGACTCAGTAGCAAGAGTTCGGATTCATAATAATTATAATTATATAGACGAGACGAGTTAATTCTGGCCAGCATATCGGTTCATCAAATTATTCAACCGTTCTTCGGCGTCACGCACGAGTTGCTGCAATATTTTCATTTTTAGTACAATTCTGTAATTTTGATTACCATCGGACTCTCATGATCATGTTGTTCCATGATCCGACATATGTCTTTGGCGTCTTCGATTTCTTCTAGGCAAAAATTGACAAAAATGGTGTCCAGTAAACTTTGCAAATCTCCTCGATCTTCAACGTTGTGCTGGAAATGAGCAAAATGATTTATTGGATCTCTATGAGTCACCAACCAATGTGCGATTGATTCTCTCGACACATTCATCAATTTGAGCCCAATATTCCTCGCATTCAGCTTGAATGGATGGAGTATTGGCCATTGTCTGAAAATTTTTTTTTCTTAAATTATTAGAAAAAACGACTGAGGGAAGAGGAAATAAATCGATCCCCCTTTATTGTATAACACTAGCATTCATTTAACATTTCAGTGAGAGCAAAATAGGTGTGAAAATAGACTATTTGGTGTTCACGAAAAACCTCGTTAATCTATTTACAGCTCATGAATTATTTAAATCTGAAAGGGGGTTAAAACTTTTCTAACACATATGCAGAATAAGGGAATAATCTGCGCGTCGGATGAGGAGAATCGAGCCAGAATTATTATGTATAGCTCCTACCTGTTTCCACTCAGAGATGTCACGACGATGAGCGGAACCTTCTTTTGAAGGTGTGACAGGTGTTACTAATATCATAATTGGCCAATTTGCTAATGACGCTGCATTCAACACTCATTTATATTTGAAAGTCTGGTTTGCAGATGAAAAGCCGCCAAAAGGCTCCAAAGGTTAATCCCAGTTTAACTGGAGTCTGCATGTTCCCGACAGACAGCCTTATGCTCGGCTTCAAACTTCCACAGTTTCAGCGTTCAAATAATACATTACTGAGTCGAGGGAGATACATATTAAAGCAATTGATGAGTTTTAAGTAAGACATAGAAAACCCAATAAGCATGCTGATCTTCTAAAATAAGTTTCAAGTTATAATCGACTTCAAACATGCACATGATTAATTCAAATATACAGTTGTAGATAATTTTTTAATAAATAGAATGGTGAATAAGGTATTGATTATCACTACCTAAAATGGGCATGTAAAATAATTGAGATTAAATGATTGAAATTTAAGGAGTTGGTGAAGGAAAAATTATCAGAAAATATTGTAGTTAATGACGAGAATTCGCTCCAAGACGCCTCAAAACTCATCAATTTAAAATTGCTTCAGAAATGTGGGCAATAAAAACGGTTTTTTCCTACATGGAAAATCTGTTTCATTTTTCATTTTTTTCTTTTTTTATGCATTCATCCAATTATCAACATTCCTGAGTTACTAATGCTGCAACGACACGTCGCAATATCGCCCGCTGTTTAGCGCATTGGCAATTAGCCAATTCGGTGTAGATTTACGAGGAAATATACTCGTTATATTCCAAAAATCATTCAATTTTTTGGTTCATCTTATGAATTTTCGGTTAAAAAATTGTTTTTTTAATCTGAACATTTAGTTTAAAATTGATGCGACTCTATTCAAAAAATTTTTGTTGAATCCAAATTTTTAATTTATTACCATTTTATGCGGATAGCCATGAATAATTTCTAAAACATTTCTATTCTTTTGAGTCAATATTTGTTTTTAAAAAATTGCTACATTTTTTTGTACATAAATAGCGAATGGTAGGGGAACAAAGACCGTTCGATATACAATATTCTGATTCAAAATTATGAGTCATTCACTGCTCGACATTTTAAGACGAATGATTCATATACACATTACTCTGTTGGTTTTGCTTTCACTTTCTCTCTACCCAAATATTTAAAGGCCAACAGAAATTCATTCGAACATTTTCGTCACGTTGGCGATTGGTGGGAGCTTCTCAGTCCAGTAGAATATTCTCTACAAATTTTTTAAATTAAAAAATTAATTACTCATTAGAATTAATACTGAGTACGTCAAATCAGATCTTTTATAATTTTTTGAGCAAAATATAAACTCATCAAAGACTTGACAGAATATTTGCTATAAAAGGTAATATAATTTTATTTGTGATGTCTCTAATTAATATTGTTTTCAGGTTCTGATCCCCTGCCTTTAAAAAAGTAATTTCTCACAGAGGATTATCTGTGACGTTAAAATTTGAGGTATGATTTTTATTTTTAGTAATTTTACACTGATTTTCATTTTATAAACTAGAATTGATCTTTTCAAGAAAAAATGCCTCAATAGAATAAATAATGTATTTAAAATATTTTATTAGTGATATTTAAGGAACCCAAGTGACGACAACAATTTGGAATGAAAACCCTGGGATTCTGAACAGGTTTTGTTGAAATTCATTTCAATTTTGAAGTAGAACTGAAAATTTGAATAATGGCCCTTCTTAAATTTTGTTTTGTTTCATTGTCGACGAAAATATTTTGGATTATGCAGTATCAATACATTCTCTAATAGGATTTCCTTTTTTCAGCCATTGTAACCTGGAAGCCTTCAAAATTAAAAGCGATAAGTAGAGGAATGCAAAACAATCAAACTACGTCCCACCCTTGTGTTAACTTTTGTTCGTTTTTTCATACATAAAATTGTTTTAATTTGTTATGGTTTTGAAAGTCGTTGTTTAAAGAAAAGTTGCCAACAACTGGCCGACATTTGAGCGAATGAATCAAATTAAGTTGTTTTTGTAAAAAAATTACGAAAATATGAAGCTAAGCTCTATTTATGTTGTTTCAATGCAGCTTCTATCTCCGATCAAACTTGGCTGCCGACTTGAAGCAACTGGCCCCAATTTGCATATTAACTCGGGCGAAAGGCTCAAAAATCCGAAAAAATATATTACAATGCATTTTCTGACGACGATTTTGTTGAATGAGAAACTTAAAAAAAATTGGCAATTTGCAAATAGGTAATTTTAAAGAAACATTTTGAATTTCCTTCTTTTTATAGCTTTTCCAGATTTTTTAAAATTCAAAGTCCGAATGGGCAAAGAAATTAGGAAATGTTTCCAAACTTAATGTATTAAAAGATTTCTGTTAGTCGGAATCAGAAATTGGTGTGAATCTTTCGTCGTACAATGCAGGTTTATGGAAGTTTTCAAAAAGATTTCACAGGCAATTAGTTTGGTTTTGATTCTTTTTAAAAATTTCAACAAATAATTGTTTTCAGTTCTATTTCTTTTTAAAAGAAAAACATAGAATCAATTAATTGAAGGAAAAATCCCTGCATATTTGATTTTTTTCTTGTTATTTCCCTAATTGAGACTAATCAAAGCAATTGTGGCCATTTGTGTCTGAATGTTTTTTGAGATTTAAAATTTTTTCCTTTCTACCCATTAAGTGAACTTGGTTTCAAACCGAACCTTGCATTTGAAAATTGTGACACTATCTTTCAAATCGGCGATATCGGCGAAAATCTCTGCATTGTTGTAGGGACTAGAGAGATACAAAATCGAAGAGAAGAAGGGTACAGTTAAATATTGTATAAAGATGAGAGTGTTTTCATGAAATTCAGAGCGTTTTGCTACAGTTTTGAAGGTTGAATGAATTGCAATCGTTTGGTTAACAAATTTTATGCAATGACATAAATTATTGAATAGAACCCCAGGTTTAATCAAAATTAATAAAACACCACGATGAGAAAATCGAAGGACATATACAGGGTGTCATTTAAGTTCCCGCACAAAAGTTAGACGCCATGAAAAGCTTGGCTGTCGCACTTTTCGTGCACCAATACAATTTATTTTTGTTAAATAAGGTGTATTTTACTTACTTTTCAAGTTTCACTTCATTCGGATGTGTTTCCGAGAAATGGCGAAGGCTAACATTCATCGCGCTTCCATTATCGAACTTCATAAGCGAAATGAGCGCCCGACAGAGATCATTCAACGCCTCGGTGTGCCTCGTAGAACGGTTTAAGACACCAACAAACGTTTCAAGGAGCTAAATACGACCAGTGACCTTCCCAGACAAGGAAGACTCGTCTCAGTAACCACTCCTCAGAAGATCAACGCCGTCAAAACGAGGATCAGGCGAAAACCGCACAGGAGCATAAGAAAGATGGCGTCAGACATGGGAATGAGCATCTTCGCTATGGAACAAATCGTCAAAACAAAGCTTGTACTGACCCCATATCGTGTCCAAAAAGTGGCAGTTCTATCGGCCGTCAACAAGCAGAGACGCTTCGAAAAAGCAAAACAACTTTTTGCTCGCACGCGGTCTGGAGAACACCTCGCCACTGTCTTCTCCGACGAGAAGCTGTTCAGTGTGGAGGCGGCATTCAACTCACAAAACCATTGAGTACTTGCCCAGACATCCCAGCAAGCTTCAGAGAAAGGAATAACAATTTATCCAGCCTCACATCCTGCCAGTGTGATTGTTTTCGGTGCCATCTGCTCAACCGGGAAGTGCCCCTGGTTTTCGTGGATCAGGTGGTGAAAGTGAACAAAGAAGTCTACGTTCGGGACATTTTGGGGAAGCATATGATGCCCTGGGCCCAAACGCATTTCGGTGGGAAGATATGGGTCTTTCAACAGGACGGAGCACCCGCCCCTACTGCCAAAACTACTCAGGAGTGGTGCCAGACCCATTTTCCCGACTTCATCAAGTCATCCGAATAGCCTGCTTGCTCCCCAGACCTGAACCCGCTTGACTTCTCCGTGATGGGGTCTTGCAGGAGAAGGTCAACGCAAAACCCCACTCAAGTGTAGAGGCTCTGAAGAAGACATTACTGGCGGAATGGGACAATCTTTCCATCGAATACCTGCGTACCTCAGTCACATCCTACCCGAAGCGTCTCCGCGAAGTCATAGCTGCGAAAAGAGGCCGAATCGAAAAGAGTTAATAGATAATTATTTGTTGTACTATAGATAAAAAATATTTCGAGTCTCGTTTGATTTGGACTTTTAGTTTCAGAAATATACGTCTTCAAAGTTGTGCGGGAACTTAAATGACACCCTGTAATACTAACTATAATGCCAATTATTCGGATTTCATGTTCAAATTGGCCATCATCGCATCGCGTGTTTGCATTAAAAACGATAGAATATCGCCCGTGAAGACTGGCGGTTGGAACGATGAATCAGCAGGTCTGGCGGCAGACGCTTGGCTTCTAGAAGGCTGACTAGTAGAAGCTGGACTATTAGCAGCATGATTTGATTCGGGCTTCTTCTCTTCAGCCTTCTTTCTTTCAGCTTCTCTTTCAGCGGCCCTCCTTTCTTCACCAATTCTCTTCTCTTTGGCTTCCTTTCCTTTATTGGCGTGAGCCAATGCAGTCATTCGCAATTCTTCCCTCATTTTCACGATATCGAATCCCTTCATCTTCTGGAATCGGTTAATATAAAGTCGAAATTAATTCATTTTAATTCTTTTTTAATGGTTTTGTTCGAAAAACAATTGAAACTCCGATGATAGAATATATGTTTTACGACGTCATTAAACTTCAAAAGAAGCACACTTTTGCTTCAAAGCAATAAAAAGAATCTACCTTGGATGTGTCGATGTTGAAAAATTCTTCATAGCCTCGAACGATAATCGAATGCCTCTCAGCAAAATTGGCGAAACTTTTACGATCCGGATCCCAACTCAATCTCATCAAATGGCTAAACATTTTATGAATTCGAATTTTGAACTCCATCGACTTTTTCTCAATTTTGGCGTCTAAAATGCGTTCAACAATATTGCTCAAACACTTGATCGACAATTCATCAAATTCCTCATTCGGTAAGCCCTGAAAATGATGTCAAATGAAAATTTTGAATTTCAAAATTATCGACAACCTTGTCAACAATCATATCGATGACTCTGGAATGCATAAGTCTGTCAACGCTAACATTCGGTATGAAACTGACGGAGAGCGTTATAAGAGCATGTTTAATTCTTCCACTTCCCTCGGGAGCATAGTGCATATTTTCGACAATAAAATCGAAACGATCATTGTACCAAGTGATATGTTTCAGACTGTTCATATTGCTGAAATAATGCCTTTATATTTTTTCGATGTGTAGTCAGGTACAAAATTTTATATGGAGTGGTGTAGAAGCGAGAGGGGGGGGGGTGTCATGAACGATAAGAAATATCGAGTGCTGCGAGAACTGCATAGAACAATAGGCAATTGGAAGGAGCGGCGACGGCGGCGGCTACCTGGCCACGAACGTAGACGGGACCCCAAGTTTTTTTTAACGTACGCCTACGTGTCTGCCATGCACTATCTGACACTCAATTTTTATAGGCTGGCCGCGCTCGCGCGCGATGCATTCGCCCCATACGAACATTCACATTATTGCGCAAAATGTCGAGTTTCTCATCAACAATCGTCCTTCAACTAGACAACCAGCAGAAAAAAAAAATAATGAAGAGGAATCGATAAACTGTCGTCGGCGATGAATTTGGCGAACACATCACTCCAACGAAAAGAAAAAAAAGTTGCCGGCGGCATATTCTAATACAAATACTTGCATTCGAAGGTGTACGAATACAATTTTGTGTGGTTGCCATGAAACGTGGAACGTTTAGTTTCTCTGAGATGAAACGTCAAATAATGTAATATGAATGGAAATAAAAAACATTGAGACGAGACCAAATATGGAAATTTAATTGTGAGAAAGAAAAATGAACAAGGCCATCAACAGGATGGAATTTCTATACAGAATGTTTGTGTTCAGGGCTTTTCATTGCAACATACTATAGTATTCCTTAAAAAGAGTATACAAGAATTATCCAAGAAAAGTATTGATAGGATATTTTTAGTTACCTTTTTTTATCCATAGATAAGCTGAAATTGGAGGGATAGAAGATTATGTCAACGATGATTGCTTGTTACATTTTATTACTAAGTCAATATATAAAGGAATAAATTCCGAGATCATTGAATGTCTCAATTGAACGATTTGGCTGAACATTATTGCGAAGTTCGAGCATTTCAGAATGTCAGAGAGATTCGAGAAATTGGCGTGAAACTTTCGTCGCCAGACATGCTTGCGAGGTCACCGTCTGTCATCATCATAGCGTGTAATTGATATTATTACATTGTTGCGCAACAGAGCTTATAAGAAAGTATTAGTACAATTCAGGTATTCAAAACCATTAAAAACAAATCGAACAAATTTTAGGGGCGACTAGTTTTAAATTCCATTCAAAAATGTATTTCATTGCGTTATTTTTATCAAAATTTTAAAAATTAATTAAAGGAAAACTTGCCAAATATATATATATATATATATAGATTCACAAAAATTATGTGTCATTTCTTTAATTGAAGGCAATTAACACAATTATAGAAATTAGCTCAATTGAGAAAAATTGGACTTTATTCAAAAAATATCTGTTTCATACTGTTCAACGGATGCGAATTGAGAAATAGAGATCGTGTCGTTTGCTGCCCAATTTAGCATTTTTCTTTCAAATCGACAACACAGGAGGTGTATGCAGACAGATACAATAGAGATACAAAAGCGCTGAGATTGCCAGAATACAATGAAAATACCGTATAAAAGCGAGAGGCCGTGATTCAGAACAATTCGCTCCCAGGGTTGAAGGTTATTCACAATTTGAGAACGTCTTTTCATAGTCGGTTTCCAAAATAATATGGCTACCAAAATTGGTCGCCACAAGACCCAATTCATATTCCGCATTGTGAGCCTTTAATCACTTATTTTATTTACCATAATTTGGCGGGCAAATTGAGTTTGGCTACAATTTTCAAAAAGATTGTAGAATATGCGAAAATCAAAAATATTTTGATAATTGAACTTTAAAAAGCCAAAACTGTTTTTTAAAGAAAATTTTTTTTTTAAGAAAAATTTTTAAAGAAAAGTTGATGAGTTTTTCGATACTGTTACGAAAGGCGCACGCGAGTTTTCGCGTTAAGTCTCACAGCGGCCGATACTTGTAGCAATTATTTTGGGAAACAGACTATTGATTCTCAAGGAATGAAACAATTAAGATATTTAAAAAATTGATTCGTGGTTCTACTTGACAAAAAATGTAAAAAATCGCAAAAAAAAGATAAATTTGATAATTTTTTAAATTGTCGGAGTCAAACGATTTGACGATATTTAAAAAACTATTGGCTATGTGCAAATGCGTCTCGAGGCAGCGAGAAGTACTGCGTACATTGCATTATAGTGTACGCGCATTGAATATTCAGTCAACGAAAAATTGAAATCTACACTGATTTCATTAATTTGAAGGCTCCGCCTCACTACTATCGTTTTTTTTTTCAAAATTTGTCATTGCTATGATAAAAAGCTGTTCAATTATTAGTTTTCAACTGACAACGGTAGCATTATCTCAAAGCTGAAATATTAAGCAATTTTCAATAACAACAAGACAAAAAGCCATGTATCTGATAAAGATAATTAAGTGCGAAACGTTTCGATAAATTTAAAAAGAATTTTCAGAACGTTGTCATAATGATTCAATCCTACTAGAAATGCTGCATTGTCCTTGTCGGCATAAAAACAATCAAAATTTTAAAATATTTATCGCACAAACGTGTAATCTTTACATCGTTCCCGATCAATTCTGACTGAGTTGCAGCTTTTTCTCTTCAAATTTTGCTAAAAAATCACATTGAGAAAGGTTTTGCTGTAAAATTTGCTCAGAATATTAAAATCAGGTCGAATTCAGACTAGCTGAAATTATGTGCCACTCAATTGTTTTAGTTTTTGTAGTATCTAATAAAAATTTAATTACAAGATCTCTCTTGTTAGTTTTCAGAGCCCCTTGACATCATTCGTATTCACCTAACAGCACCATTCAGCTTTTCCATGTAAAGTTTCGCCTAATAAGAAACTATAATTGTTATGATGTGAAAGTACTCTCTAGTTCCATGTGATATGATTTATAGTGAACAATTAGATTTCAAATCGCTTTCTTCAGACGCAACATCAAGCAGATGTCCACCCTTTATCCTCACTCTTTGCATGTGCCGACCCTGCATTTGTGGGTGGAGCTCCTTGAACTCTTTTCCGTCTCCGATATAACTCCTTCTAATTCATGTCGGTGTTTCATTATTCGTTCGCTTCAAAGCTCCATGTGGCGTTCGGTTTTTATTCATCTACCTATACCTATAGTTAAACAGGTACTGCAGATTATAATGACACCCATTGGCTTATTGGGGTCAGTTAAAACTATTCAAGCTGCCAGCCGTAATATTCTATTCTGCTGGCTGATTCTACTTCACCAACAGTCAGATATTCAGTTGAAATTCGTCAATTCAAAAATATTGAGGAATTCAACTAAATGTCAGACGGATTGTTGAAGAACAATTTTGAAAAATATAGCCGGAATCTCAAAACTTAGTTCAGCTTATTCGTAAAATCAGAGGATGTACATCTCTTGTGGTGACGTCAGAAGAATGAACCGGCAATTTGTTAAAGGAAGGATGATTGGGGTTGATTGGAAGCTTATATCCCTTTGGAAAAATACGTCATTTTGACAAAAAAAAAATTTAAATTACGAGATTTGAACAAAATTTATATTGTATTAAAATATAAACTTACAATGGGTCTTGTTTGTCCCAACATCAAGATAATGCCAATGGATATATGAAATCATTCTCATTTATAACCATATATATTAGTCTTTGGAATTTTCAAGGTCTCATTTGTAAAAGGAGGTCAATAATTGAGACATCATCCAATCAAATTATTCACTAATTGAATTTTTGAAAAGTGCGAATGATATGAAATGATAGACAGAGAAATAATTTTTAAATTCTATCTACGACACGATCATGAAATATGAAACCATTTTCGGTAGCATTTGGGTCTGAATTAAACTGGGATTAACCTTTTCTACATTTTGGCGGCTCTCCTTGATTTCGATTCATTAGCTCTATTGTGCAGCACGTCGATTTCTCAAATTTCTGCGACAGGTGATATTATAAAATTTCATCCCACTATTGGCTGATGACTACGGTAAAGAGCGTATATAAACACATAATTCTCATTAATTCGAAAAAATCCACTAGTCATACATATAAGACAGTAAATTTTTGTTTCACTTTCTGAGCCAATCCGATATGGTCCCATTTTATTTCGGAAGCCGGCATCCGGCCACTGCTGTACGCGACTAAATTCACGGGGAATGGACTAACTGCTATTTTGCATTTTATCGATCGGTTCGTTAATTTTCAAAACGAATGATGTTGGATGATCAAGGAGAAGCCAAAATCATCTGAAAAAATTAAAATTCACATGAAAACAGGGAATTAAACGGTTACACGTTGCGAGACCATTTCAAAAGGCGCATGCCTAAATCTACCACAGCAGTTACCTAAAGCCGACTAAAAGATGTACACAATAAGCATATTTTATTCAAATATGAAGAGATATTAACATTTGTGACAACCCGTATAAATGTCCGCAGTTGTTTTTGATAAGACTGATCCCAAGTTTGTAAACAAAGTTGGTTTAATTACCCAAGTTTGAGGTAAGCCGCGCCTCCGACCCACTTTAACCAAGTGGTATCGGAATTGAATTTTGGAACCGATCTCCTTCATGTGGGAGATCATATAAACACCATCCTACCTCAAGAAAATTTTCGGACCCAACAAAAATAGCACCCATATATGCTATGTCAAAATTGATACAATAAAATGGCTTATGTATTTGACATCATTTCCAAATATGTCATACTTACCATGTTGCCATTATTCGTACATAATGATTCTTACGGTCTTGATGATTCTAACGGTCTTCTTTCTCTTAAAGAAAAATGACCATACAAGTTATCTTCATATTATCATCATATCATATTTCATCAACTCCAGTAGACATATGTTCATCGTAAACTATCTTGACTTTAAAATAAAACATCTGGTAGCATAAATCAAAAATGGAAGTTTACAACTGGACTACGCCAATATGAGCTTATTGGCAGGGTTTGTAACATTATTCCGTGCACGTGTAGGGTAAAATCTTACTATTTGCATGTGTGGCTTGAGCCGGCCTGCAATGAAATATACTAAAATGAAAAAAAAAATTAGAATTTTAACAACAGAAACTATCAATTGCTAAAAAAAAACGAAAACTAGTGTAAAATTGGCCCGGATGGATTAAATGGCTTCTTATCAATAAATTATACCCTTTATACTCTGGTAACTCAAAACCAATCGGATCCTACAAAATTCGGCCCCAGAATCAACCTCATCCTATCGGTAATTCTACGGATAAGACTATTATTGGATACTTATCGGATTCGATTGGTCATTCGTCGGATCCGATTCGAATTGAAAGACTAAAACAAAACGGATTCGATTATTTACCAATCGCATCCGAAAATACCCAAAAACCAATCATATCCGACAATTTTAAAATTTTATCCGTAAAATTACCAATCGGATAAGATTGATTCTGGAGTCGAACTTTGTCGGATCTGATTGGTTTTGAGTTAGTTACAAAAGTAAGACAGAGATGGTGTTGCAAAGTCAAAAAGTTAAAGGTTAATCCCAAGTTGTCTAACTATAACAAATTTAGGCATTATTTGAATTTTCCGTCCCCCCCCCCCTCTGTAATATTTAGTAATGAGAATTTGAGACATTTTGCTGAAATATTTTCATTTCGATGAATCCCCCTCGATTAGTCATATTTTTCTTTCTTTCTTCTGTCTCGAAACATTTCGAAACTTGTTTACATTATACCAGGTCGCGCGGCATCTCTCGCCGCGTTTTCCTGAAACAAACGCAGAATGAGAAGGGAGGTTTTCATGGCTCGCGCGTCTTTTAGTCCCGCCTCAAAAATTCGAAAACGTCGATAGAGAATTTGAAACGAGCTGATTCCTCTATCCTCATGGACAAGATGCGAGCAACGCTCATCCTCTTCGTGATTCTATCATTCTTTGTGGGTTTCGTCAACTGTCAAAGCTACCGATGTATCGCCTGCATGGACGAAGAGTTTGTAAGATTTCATTCCTTATAGCAGAAATTACAGCCATTTTTTTCTTTAACAGTTTTCGGTTCCCTATTTCGAAAATAAGACACTCGGGCAAAAGATGGCTTGGAAACGGGCGAAAGCTCTCCCACCATGCAACGATTCCAGTGTGGTGTCATTGGTCGAATGCAAGGATTCGTGCATCATGGTGAAGAAGTACAAGCAAGACATGACTGGATGGATAGCCATCGGCAGATATTTTGATTGCGAGACCGCCGAACTTGCCGAGTTTTTCGTGCGCAAACCCAAACTCTATTGTACGATTTATTAAAGGTTTTTACTCGATTTCATTATCAATTTCAGATAAGCAATTGTTTGTCGTCGAATTTTTCTCAACAGGCACCCATATCAGTCAGCTCACGAATAATGTCCTCGACGACTTCTACAACGAGCAACTGATTCGGTTTGCCGTCTTCCTCGTCGTTGCTGTTGCCATCGTTGCACATTTCGCCATCATTCGTGCCGGAGAGATTTTTTATGTAAGCGCTTCAATAATTTCATGTCGAATCTGACATTTCCAGATGATCGCGCTCAATCCGAATGGATTCGTTGCCAACTACACGCGTTTCTTCAAGTCTCAAATTGGATTGCTGCGCAGATTTGTTGAATGTCTGAAATCGTTCATTCCATATGTTCAACAAAATTAAAACGCTGTTAATCGCAGAGAATAATTTCATTCTGAAACTTTCATTTAATCGTAATCTATCTATATCACACTCCCATCTCCCCCTACCTATCGTTATGTTTTTAATGTTACTTAAGAATTTTTTAATAAAGGGAAGTTGAACAGAAATATTGTTTTTTTTTTTATTTTAATTTATAGATCGGACACATTTGTGCCATTCTATTTCGATATCTGTCAAGTTTGACAAAATCCTGCTCAAAATGCGGTTCTCGCGATTCCGCAATTGCGTTTCTGTTGGTTGCCTATTGAATTCGGCAAAATGCCAAAGAAACCCCAATTGCGCAATGTTTTTTTGGATTTAGAAATTCAAAAAAATTTATGCAAAAGTGTTTCTCAACATCGATTTCGAGTATCAAACCTATTTACTTCAAATTGCTCCTGAGTTCTCTGTTAATTTATTGATATCTGTTCTATATATAACTTTTTTCTTTTGGAAATTCTATTTAAATTTCAAATCTTGATATTCACCCGTGCCAGACAGTCTATTGTTTCATTTAGCACAAAAGAGCATTGTCTCATTTTGATTGGCAATAATCTTTTTGTCTAGCGAGCGTATTTAGAAGATAAAAGAAAATTTTTCAAAAGAATTTTCAAAAAAAAATTCAAATTTCCGCTCTCAACGTCTATTTGCCACCCCAGTCACGCCTCTTTTGTCTCTTGTTGTTGATACCTCGCCCTTTCACAATTCCGTTTCCTATTTTCAGAGTCTCAACGAACACAGAATGCGCTTCTTTCAACTTCTCCTTCCAATCGTCATCCTCACTTCATCAGTGCTTGGTTACACTCAAAATTACGAATATAATGGCCATAAGAAGGTTTTGTGTCCGCTTTGCGCCGATCCAATAATAGTAAGCAATTTCAAAAAATCGGTTTTCGTTCAATTCAATCATTTTCAGTACAAGATGACCGATCACCTCCCCTATTACGATATTCCGGAAAACCTTCCGCCCTGTACTTCTCATCATTTAGCCTTGGAACCGGCCTCCAACGTAGTAAGAAGATGGCAGCACAAAAGATCGAAAAAACTAATTTTTTTCAGAGGGAATGCTTTTATTCCTGCATGGAGATTAAAATGACCAGCCTTCGAGATTGCAAACAAGTTCTTGGTATGGTGGTTTGACATTTTTAAACTCAAAAAAAATTGAACAGGTCGCAGCATTGGTTGCAGCGTTTTCTCGGCATTCTGGCATATCGAATACGACGAGAAATCGTTTCCCAAGAAGAGTCTGACTTACTATAACACTACTCATGACCTCACCGTTGGTAATTCTTCAAACGGCCACCAATGCTCCTTTAAATTTAATCGCTAATTTTTTCAGGATCATTTCTATTCAATGTGACACATATTCCTCGAAGCGTGTATCTGGATTACATCAAGGATAGCACTGTAACAGTCAAGCAGGAAAATGGCTTCTTCATCTCGCCAACAATTATTCGTCATGGTCTTTTTGTCATTGCTATCCTCGTTGTCTTCCGAATGTTTGAGCTTCATAGAAAACCAAAACACACCTCCTAAGCTCTTCATTTATTGTTTCTTGGTGTTGTTTAAATAACTACAGGGTGTCATTTAAGTTCCCGCACAAAAGTTTGACGCCATGAAGAGCTTGGCTGCCGCACTTTTCGTGCACCAATACAATTTATTTTTGTTAAATAAGGTATATTTTACTTACTTTCCAAGTTTCACCTCTTTCGGATGTGTTTCCGAGAAATGGCGAAGGCTAACATCCATCGCGCTTCCATTATCGAAGTTCATAAGCAAAATGTGAGCCCGAGAGACATCATTGAACGCCTCGCTGTGCCTCGTAGAACGGTTTGCGACACCATCAAACGTTTCAAGGAGCTAAATACGACCAGTGACCGTCCCAGACAAGGAAGACTCGTCTCAGTAACCACTCCTCAGAAGATAAACGCCGTCAAATCGAGGATCAGGCGAAACCCCCACAGGAGCATGAGAAAGATGGCGTCAGACGTGGGAATGAGCATCTTCGCTATGGAACAAATCGTCAAAACGAAGCTTGGACTGACCCCATATCGTGTCCAAAAAGCGGCAATTCTATCGGCCGTCAACAAGCAGAGACGCTTCGAAAAAGCAAAACAACTTCTTGCTCGCACGCAGTCTGGAGAACATCTCGTCACTGTCTTCTCCGACGAGAAGCTATTCACTGTGGAGGCGGCATTCAACTCACAAAACCATCGAGTACTTGCCCAGACATCCCAGCAAGCTTCTGAGAAAAGCAGAACAATACATCGAGCCTCACATCCTGCCAGTATGATGGTTTTCGGTGCCATCTGCTCAACCGGGAAGCGCCCCTGGTTTTTGCAGATCAGGGGATGAAAATGAACAAAGAAGTCTACGTTCGGGACTTTTTAGAGGAGCATGTGATGCCCTGGACCCAAACGCATTTCGTTGGGCAGAAATGGGTCTTTCAACAGGACGGAGCACCCGCCCACACTGCCAAAACTACTCAGGAGTGGTGCCAGACCCATTTTCCCGACTTCATCAAGTCATCCGAATGGCCTGATTGGTCCCCAGACCTGAACCCGCTTGACTTCTCCGTGTGGGGTCTTGCAGGAGAAGGTCAACGCAAAACCCCACTCAAGTGTAGAGACTCTGAAGAAGACATTACTGGCGGAATGGCACAATCTTTCCATCGAATACCTGCGTACCACAGTCGCATCCTACCCGAAGCGTCTCTGTGAAGTCATAGCTCCGAAAGGAGGCCGAATCGAAAAGAGTTAATAGATAAATATTTGTTATACTATAGATAAAAAATATTTCGAGTCTCGTTTGATTTGGACCTTTAGTTTCAGAAATATACGTCTTCAAAGTTGTGCGGGAACTTAAATGACACCCTGTACACAGCTTTTTTTTTTTACTTTTTTTTCAACAAAATCAATTATTCCATTTTTTACCAATCGTTTTGAATCATTGTTGTTGCAACTGTTCTTTATGTTGAACTTGTCTTTTTGAATAAATTCCCTAAAAGAAATGTCAGCTGGGTTTTTTTTTTCAGATTTTGTCGCATAAACCAATTCGTGGTCCTTCCGAGCTCTCCAAACATGGCGAAAAACATTACTGAATTTCTTGACATGATTTTATTCATTCGAAGCACATTAGGCATTGAACGGAAAAGGCATTGAATCGGAAAAAAATGTGCAAAAAAAACAAATTAATCCATTAAATTTCGGCAAGTACGAACTAGCATTTTTAAATTGCGGTAATTAGCGTTTAAATGCCCATGGCTAGATAAATTAATGGATTTAATTGTTTTTTGAAACACTGAGTCCACAATTCACTGCCCGATTCGTTTTTGATAAAAACAACATTTTGTAAATTTCAGATATTTGGAGCCATTTCTTAAATTTAAACCTTTTTCTCCAAAAATGTGTTTAAAAAATTTACATTATTTTGCATTATTGCAAAGTGTAGTATCGCAAACGCGCTCCAATGCACAAAGACGCGGCGAGACCCGCAAGGATCTTGTTGATTTACGCAGACGATAATTAATTTAATTTTTCTATTTTCGCTATTACAACTTGCAAAACTTCAGTTTTTCAGATAAAAATTGTATCGATCGAAAGAGAAAAATTTCTAGAATGCAGGTAATATCAGTTGTACAGGGTGTCATTTAAGTTCCCGCACAACTTTGAAGACGTATATTTCTGAAACTAAAAGTCCAAATCAAACGAGACTCGAAATATTTTTTATCTATAGTACAACAAATAATTATCTATTAACTCTTTTCGATTCGGCCTCTTTTCGCAGCTATGACTTCGCGGAGACGCTTCGGGTAGGATGTGACTGTGGTACGCAGGTATTCGATGGAAAGATTGTCCCATTCCGCCAGTAATGTCTTCTTCAGAGCCTCTACACTTGAGTGGGGTTTTGCGTTGACCTTCTCCTGCAAGACCCCATCACGGAGAAGTCAAGCGGGTTCAGGTCTGGGGAGCAAGCAGGCTATTCGGATGACTTGATGAAGTCGGGAAAATGGGTCTGGCACCACTCCTGAGTAGTTTTGGCAGTAGGGGCGGGTGCTCCGTCCTGTTGAAAGACCCATATCTTCCCACCGAAATGCGTTTGGGCCCAGGGCATCATATGCTTCCCCAAAATGTCCCGAACGTAGACTTCTTTGTTCACTTTCACCACCTGATCCACGAAAACCAGGGGCACTTCCCGGTTGAGCAGATGGCACCGAAAACAATCACACTGGCAGGATGTGAGGCTGGATAAATTGTTATTCCTTTCTCTGAAGCTTGCTGGGATGTCTGGGCAAGTACTCAATGGTTTTGTGAGTTGAATGCCGCCTCCACACTGAACAGCTTCTCGTCGGAGAAGACAGTGGCGAGGTGTTCTCCAGACCGCGTGCGAGCAAAAAGTTGTTTTGCTTTTTCGAAGCGTCTCTGCTTGTTGACGGCCGATAGAATTGCCACTTTTTGGACACGATATGGGGTCAGTACAAGCTTTGTTTTGACGATTTGTTCCATAGCGAAGATGCTCATTCCCATGTCTGACGCCATCTTTCTTATGCTCCTGTGCGGTTTTCGCCTGATCCTCGTTTTGACGGCGTTGATCTTCTGAGGAGTGGTTACTGAGACGAGTCTTCCTTGTCTGGGAAGGTCACTGGTCGTATTTAGCTCCTTGAAACGTTTGTTGGTGTCTTAAACCGTTCTACGAGGCACACCGAGGCGTTGAATGATCTCTGTCGGGCGCTCATTTCGCTTATGAAGTTCGATAATGGAAGCGCGATGAATGTTAGCCTTCGCCATTTCTCGGAAACACATCCGAATGAAGTGAAACTTGAAAAGTAAGTAAAATACACCTTATTTAACAAAAATAAATTGTATTGGTGCACGAAAAGTGCGACAGCCAAGCTTTTCATGGCGTCTAACTTTTGTGCGGGAACTTAAATGACACCCTGTATATAACGGCGGCTTAAAATCAACCAGGAAATGCTGACATCCATTTAAAAATTTGTATAGTCGACGACTGACGGATTTGGGGTGCGATTGCTTCACTTTCTGAATTGCCGCCTTGGTTCTCATGTGGAAAAACAATTTTAGGAGCGATTTTTTACGTTTTCTAACTATCATAATATGAGGGCGTAACATTTTTGAGGAGTTTTAAGTGCACAAGCGTCGAACGGAGTATGAGCCGATTTTGTTTTGCGGGACCCTTTAAATGGCTAGCCGGGTAATTCAAATTTCTCAAATTCGTCCGTCCGCAACAATATATACATTTATTGATTTCCATGAAGTTGTTTCTTTATGAATATTATATTTTAATTTTCATGCAAAGGGAAATGTTGGATGAAGCTCAAGAAACCAAACTGTAACTCGAAACTTATTTGAATATCTTAAATAGTTATTTCAGTACGCTGGGAAACGAGAATCCTGCAGCTACTCTTTCACATTCATCAAAAATATTCGTCCGAGACTTCACCCATATATATTGATGCTAACCAGATCATCTTAAATTTTATACTCTTAAAGTCAACAAAATAAAAAAAAAGGCCATTTTTTTTATCAAGAGAAAACATCAATCTGAAAAATCATCAATAGAATCCCATCGATAATTCTACACAATAGTTCTACGCTGATTGAAATGCTATCATATTTCCAGTAGCTCTTCGCATTCTTTCATTTTTTTTGACAATTTAGATAGTTTTGGAACGCATGGTTCACGTTCAAGAACAGGAAACGAAAAGGGATTTCAATTATTTTCAGATGTAATTCAATCGATTTTAGTATATCCTAATTTCAGGGAAGAATCAAGTCTAAAACTTTAATATTAAGCCCAGGAATTGCTGATTATTGCCAGATTAAGGAAGTCATCCTGAAGATTCGAAACGATCAATTTACTAATCGGGAGTAGTCAGAGAAAATCAAAAATAGCATATGGAATTCGCTGCGCCAAAATTTAGGGATGTTTCGGCTTCTTGTGCACATCCTTCAGTAATCTAAAAATTTAAATTGTATTAATTTTTTTCAAACTGATCGAAACAAAATGCACAGTCATCAGCATCATTATATATGGACAATAGATAAAGAATGAATCTGAAAATTAAGCAGCTAATTAATTCATTCCATGGAATCCAGAATTTCTTATTGTTTGATCGATACCATTTTCAACTGAAATCTCGAAAATTTGAAAGTTTTAATCGCGAAAATATGAAAATTAAATAAATATTCGTCTGCGTAAATCAACAAGATCCTTGTGGGTTTCGCAGCGTCTTTGTGCAATGGAGCGCGTTTGCGATACAACACTTTGGAATAATGCAAAACCTTGAAATTCCCGCAATTGTTTTAAGATTCTTTAAAAGAAAAAGTCAAACTATTCAGGAGAGAGTTCTAAATATCCGAAATTTATAAAATTGAGACCTTCTAGAAACGAATGAAGCACTGAATTGAGATATCAGTGTTTCAAAAAAGCAATTAATCTTAGTATTTTATCTTGCCAGACAATTAAATGCTATCGATTGAAAAAATCTCATGGCTTTAAACTAGACTATATTATTTTATGATAATCTCATATATGACAATTTTTTTGAATTAATAAAACAGTATTTTCTGCTCTTTTATTCAAAGAAATCCACAGAAAAAAATTTTTATCCGTACAAAAGACAGACAACCACGTTAAGTAATGGGAATATCTATATGAATGAAAGAGAATATTGAAAAAGGAGTAAAAATTAAAGTACAATTTAAAATAAAATAAAGTAGATATATATTTATGTATATATACCTTGTGGGTTATTCAGAAAACTTCACAAATTCATCAAATAATGTTAAATAATAAGTAAGAATTACTATTAAAAGTACATATATAATACAATTATTTACATTTTAAACTCAAGTGGGAGATAGAAGTTTTAAAAATTGTTACAATTTTTCTATGGCAATTTTTTCAATTTTTCCGAAGATGGTGAAGGATTTTTTTATAATTTAATATCCAAGGCGTGAGCTTATAAACGCTTTCTTTCGTAACGTTTTCCATTGACGTTTTTCCATGTTGAACTGAATAAATCTAGTAAAAATGAAAACAATTTTTTAAATTGACTAGAATTATAAACACTTACTGACTGCAAATCCTAGTCCTCTTTGCGAAATGTAATTTTTTTGGGCTGGAAGTTCATCATTGTTTTCTTCAACTTTCCATTGCATTTTTAACTGAAGGTAAATTTGAAAATTGTTAAAAATGGCTAAGCGGCATTAACACATACTAGTTCCATAGTCTAGTTTTATATTACGGCCTCAGCCGCACCGTTCCAACGGTGTCAAGTCAGGTTGAAGAGCCTCGCCGTCAATTTATTCTCTAAATTTCAAAACTTTGCTTTAAAAAAAGGCTAGAAATATAAACACTTACTGACTACAAATTCTAGTCTTCTTTGCGAAATGTAATTCTTTTCGCTAGAAGGTCAGCATTGTTTTCTTCAACTTTCCATTGCATTTTTAACTGAAGGTAAATTTGAAAATTGTTAAAAATGGCTAAGCGGCATTAACACATACTAGTTCCATAATCTAGTTTTATAACAGCGCCTCAGCCGCAACGTTCCAGCGGTGTCAAGTCAGATTTAAGATGCCGGCTAAATTTTTAATAGCCGGCATTTCAAGAAAATTCGTCGTCAATTTTATACTCTAAAATCCAAAACTTTGCTTAAAAAATGACTAGAAATATAAACACTTACTGACTGCAAATCCTAGTCCTCTTTGCGAACTGTAATTTTTTTTGGGCTGGAAGTTCATCATTGTTTTCTTCAACTTTCCGTTGCATTTTTAACTGAAGGTAAATTTGAAAATTGTTAAAAATGGCTAAGCGGCATTAACACATACTAGTTCCATAGTCTAGTTTTATATTACGGCCTCAGCCGCACCGTTCCAACGGTGTCAAGTCAGGTTGAAGAGCCTCGCCGTCAATTTATTCTCTAAATTTCAAAACTTTGCTTTAAAAAATGACTAGAAATATAAACACTTACTAATTGCAAATGCTGGCTTTTAATTTTGGACACTTCATTTTCGTTGCCTCTTTTGCTGGTCTGCAAAAACAAATAAATTGCCTTTTCTATTGTGCCCTTTTTTGATCGCAAGAATGAAACAAAATTATGTTATATTTAATTGAAAAGTTTAGTAAAAACGAATTAGTAAAAACGAAATAAAATAAAATAAAAACAATAGTTAAAGTATGGTTTAAAAAATAAAACGAAAATTGTTGCACAAAAAATGCATCACAATCTTCTTGTACATGGGAAAAAAACAATTGAAAAATTGATAAGCCTGATATAAATTGGCTTTTAGCAGTTTTAAACAGTGTTTTTCCTCAACTAAATTTCTATCTTAATGTTCAAAAATTATTTTTTACTTTCAAATATTTGAAATTGTTCCTATCCCCGAATTTAAAAATCTTCACAAATTATTCATTAAAAAATTTTTATTCCGGTATCCGGTGTTCGGCAATTTTTTTCTTGAAATTTAGCTTCGTCTGGAAAAACCAATCCCAAAATCTCCTATAAGCTATACAAAAAAAGATACCATAAATTAATTTCGAGAATGAGTGAAGTTGAATTACATTTTGTAACCATTATCTTGATATATGAAAAGTTTGCTTTAAATTCAAGCTATGTTACACGTATAACTACCAGCCCTTCCACCAACCCCGCTTATTAATAACAAACTCGTTTAGGAGTTAGCCTCCTCTTGAGCAATGAAAAACAATAGAGAAAATACAAATTGTAAAGCGAACCTGTTATTAGACGGATCAGTTGCTACATACATGTTTGTTAAGGGCTTGAAAGTGTCTGATGGTTGGTTGGTTAGCTGCAAATAGAGATTATGACCGTGAATCAAGCCGCAGTAAGTTCAATTATCGTTTCACGCGAAATATCGTTAGTTTTCTGATAGAAAAAATGGATATTGCAAATTCTTCCTATTTTTAGACTTATCCGACTTCAAATGATGGTGTTTCGCAATTAAAATATAAATAAATATGATTATTGGGCAAAATAAATAATTGCAAGAACATTTTTTGCGGCGCGGTGCCGAACCCCGGCGCGATATGCAGCGCGCCGTAAACACTTCCCTCTTGCCCATCACTCCTTGCTGAGCCGCGCGCTCAACGCCGATGACAAGAGGGGCGGCGGACACACGCGTGCAGTGTTAAAATTAAGCGTGTAATACAAAATTGCAATGCAAAAATTCCTAAAAATAAAGAAAAAAAAGTTCCAATGAGATTTTCTGGAATATTGGGAAGGAGAGATAATTGAAGTTATTTCATATTAGGGTCTAGAGCGTGTGTGCAAAATTAGAGCGCATTTCCTTGGCGGACAGTAAAAATACACAACTTTAAAAAAAAATATGGGCCTAAGGAAATCGAGATTTTGTGTGAAAAACGCATTTGGGTGACGAGAGCGAACATAAAATGTAAAAATAAAATCATTGTGAAGGAAGAAAGCAAAAAAAAATAAGAGAAATGAGCTCAAAACCGTAGGAACCAGCTCAGGAATGAAGTAGCGCGCTGGCGCCACACGGTTTTCCACAGGCGCGCTTACTGTAGCACTCGGTTAAATGTGCGCAGCTCTGGGGCGATTTACGGCTCGCGATTCGAGCGTTGCTGGTTTACGGATTAGTAGCTTATTTTGCAAAAAGTAACGAAAGTCGCCAAATTTTTTACATCTATCTAATTCTCCACAGCAAATTAATTATTATAACATAATTAATTGATATTTTCACTACTAATTTTCGATTTTTTTCTCAAAAAATGTCGAATTTTTATCCATATTGCATTTTTTGTTTCATTTGAATAGATGAATCAAATAGTTTATGGTTAATGTCATTTATGGTAATCGCGCAAAACAGAAATACAGTTTTTCATAACCAACTCAAAAAATTAATGATAGGAAGATTATATAAAATAAGACGATATTTATTAATTCCAAATAGAATATTAAAATATACATAATAGAGAGTCTTGTAGGCTTATTAATGATTCTTAAAACAATTAAATTAGTGAGTGGCAAAACGAGAATTAATTTTGATTAGTTGAAAAAAAATTATGGAAAATAGATAATGAAGCAGTTATATTGGATGAAAAAGATTGAAAAAAAAGAAGGAAACTAAGAATTATTCAATTCAGCCTCTCGGATGTACCCATCAAAATGTTGCTCAACACGACGGTAGAGCAACGACATTTCGGTCATCACTATCTAAAAATTGTCAGTTAGAATATAAAACTGAACAATGTCGCCTACTCTGACTCGGTCCATGTCACCAACATCGCTATCGAAATCGTCGCCGCATCGGCGAAGAGCATTAAATAGATCGGTGATTTGTTGGGAATAAACGGTAAAATTTGGGCAAAGTTGACCGCCGTGACGATAATTGATATTGCATAAATTATTCTCAAAATTGAAACTTATGTTATGAAAATTCGAAAAATCATACCATTCGGTTTCTGTATAAGATGATCTGGACTTCAAAAAGAGCCTTGCGGAACGTGTTCGCGTCTTGCATAAAAGCCTCCATATTGATAGAATAATGGATCTGAAAACAATTTGAATTTGAGTATCATTTTATTTAAAACTGTGATAGCTTTTGATAGCTAATCATGACTATTTATGGCATACTCAACTAGAATTTACTACAAAGACGTGATCTAATTGGTAATGCTCATCGAGCTCAAATGAGCATATCACGCGACCGAAATCAGTGCACTTTGACGTGCATTGCCCTTTTAGAATAACAAGTGCACCTTTCACCGAAATTTGAACAATGAATGTGCTTCAGATTATCATAAAAGGACAGCGGGCACCAACGAGCAAAACCGATTCTGTTTCGAGCCACCTTTCGCTAATGAGGAGCCGCAAAATTGTTTCAAAGGTTAATCCAAATTTAATTGTGAGCCACATGTTACCGAAAAACAACCTTATACATGGTTTCATATTTCCGGCGGTGTCTATTGTCGGTAAGATATTTAAAAATGTTATTCCAAATTATCGAATTTTGGCAGTTTTGACCAGAAATGAAAGGATTTTTTAAACAAAAACTGAAAGATATGAAATTAGACATACATTTTCAAATGGAATTTGTCAGCTTTCTAGATTGGGATCAATTTTTTCTGGAACTTTGAGTATATACCTTTTTTGAAACTACAGCGAAGAACCGACAGCATTCATTCACAAAATATGGCATTTCAGAATGAATTTTACTAGAGATTCGGATTCTTCAAAAAAGTTGCTGTTTAATATTTCATGGAATTTTCACTTGAAATCATAAAATCTTGATATTTCAAAAAAACATTTTTCTGAAATTTCTTGTAGGTAGGAAAATCAGATTAATCTTCCATTAGTTCTTCTCTTTCCCATTTCCTTTCATGGAGTGGATCCGAAATTTCGGCGTACTCCATATTTCGAAGAACCGTAATGGTAAATGTTTGACTTGAGTTCTCCTTTGGATGTAGCTCACTAAAAGCCACGCCCAGAAAATCATGCCGCAAACCGATATTTTCTCATCTGAAAATTAATAACTTCAACCAACTTTTGTATTGGGCAGATTTTTATTAAATGAGAGTTCATTGGAATAATTGCAATTAAAATAACATTAGCTGGGTACAATTTAAAAAAAAAACATTAATTCGAATCATTTTTCAATGACAACTGCAAAAAATTACAAATTGGCAAATATAAGCAGCATGACCGAATTAAAAAAAAATGAAAACAAGACCAAATTAGTTGGAGGTAAATTTTATGCCGTCAAATTTTCCCTTAAGATCATTGATGCGAAGTTGCTCGTACAGAACAAATTTCTCAATTCCTTTACTGAAAATCATTTCTTTATAATTTCTAGTTTTATTCAACAAATCGCTTTACCTCTTTGCGCAAAAGACGCATGCTTCCGTTGAGGTCTCCTTTGAAGCTTTCGGGATGAACGAGAAATTGAATGATTCCTGATTGCAATACGTGCACCAAACACTGAAGCAATCACTTGGACGATCATCTTTTTTGATTTTGATATTATGAGAAACCGCATAATCCCGAGTCATCTTGGCAAATGCCAATGATCTAGAAAGATTTTTTTATATTCAAAAAAAAAAACGTTTTGTGAGAAACGAAAATACTTTATGAGAATGGAGCGAACTTCGACGAACAGCTGATGATTCGAGAATTCGAACTTGTCAGCTAGCTCCCAAGCTAAAGCTTGCATTGGGACAAGCGATTGGAAATTCTAAATACTTATCGTTATCGAATGACAACCTTTCAACATTCTTACCACTGTTTTATTAAACTCATAGCTGATGAGTGACGTGCGAAGCTGGAAAATATTCATCGGGCCGATATTCCAGCTAACGTTGTTGCACCAGCCGGTGGCCTGGACCCAATGTATGCAGCCACCGTTTAGGAAGACGAGATCTCCGGCCTTTTGTGTGAATCGGTAAATTGGGATTCTGGCATTTTGCAAGTCTTCAAGGCACGGCCAATACGCTCCCTCGCGAAAATTGATTCTGTTCCTAAAAAGAAATATTCTTTCAGACAACCAATGTAGAAAATTGCCCACTTGGTGCACAATCTCATAATTGGTCCCCAGTACTTGTAAGGGACAGCGAACCATTCGCAGTCGCCGGGGCCGACGTTCAAATTGACCGATGCCATATTATTGTTCTCCTGATGCGCCGGCGTACGCGATCCGGGGATCTTGATGTACATCTGAACGCGGTTCATTCCAAGAATATGATGGCGCAGAAAAGCGAGGAAATTCTCTTCGGATTTATGGCGAAACAGTGCCGGTAACTTCATGAGCTCATCGCATTGTTCTCCCCACTTCGATGAGTCCGATAGGTCAAAATTGGTTCCGAATACGATTTCGTCCGCCGCAATGATGAATGCCTTTTTCTCGTTGTGATCATTCTCATCGCCTTCATGAGCCTCAGGAATCTCCTCAATTTCATTTCTCTCACTATTCTTATCATTGTCGTCATTCACTATAAAAGGAATTTATATCATCTGGTTTTCAGTCGAATTTCACTTACATTTCATTCGTTTGACTTCGCCTCCTCTGCCGGCTGAATTTTGCGCGTGCTGGCTACCAGATCCACAGTGTCTTTCGTATTCTTCTGCAATTAAAATTTGTGTTACATTGTTGAAATTCTATTTGCTAACCTTCTATGGCCTTTCGAAGCATTTTTTCCTGATAATTAAAGTATTCTTCTAGTGTGTATCCTTTTTCATCTTGAATGCTTTCATAAGTCCAAGTAATTTTGCCATTGTCATTGAAATTAAAATGAGACGGCATGCGCTTTTGCAGACGCGATTCCAAGATATCAGTCTTGCCTTTTTCACAGAGAGCTTTTGTCGAGAATTTTGCCATATCTATTCCAAGGCTGTCAACGAGACCTCTAACCACAACAATGTCAGATAATTGGCAGATTCTGGAATATTTTGATACAAATTTTAAAATTTTTTAATGAATATACTGTCGCAGTTGGGTGGAATTCGCATCGGACGCATCTTTGCAAATAAGAAGCGGTGTTGGCAGAAACAATGACAACGGTGCTGCATCCGGCTTCTCTTTGGGAACTCGCGGTGGGTCCGGCGGACTCGCATTCTCCACGAAAACTTCGTTTTGTCTTTTTGTCTGACAGCGTTTCGCCGCCATATCCACGATCAATGCTCCGTTGACTTTGTCCTCCTTGACCTTCAATGGCGCGAGCAGATTAAATTTTAATGGAAAGTCCGACATCGCTTTACTATCGCCTTCTTCTAAAATATCGAATTCCATTTTTTAGACTGCCATTGAATTGGTTACCGTTTATCAATCTTCTGCCGAGGGGTGTGATATCATGCAGAGCCTTGCAGAATTCCGCGTCCGTCATCGCCGGCGTCTCACTAATGTTTCGAACAATGAAATTGTCTGTTTTCAAGCTCTGAACAAAATTCATATTGAATTGATATATTTTCAAAATCTTACTGCATTCAAGCATTTTTCGACGTCGACATTCTCAAAAATTTTCTTCACCATCCTGTCCTGCATATCCATGCCGCCGTTGACAATTGCCTTGACGATTTGCACCTGATTGGTGTTGAAGGACATATTGTCTCTTCAGTGTTCTACAAATATAGGCAATTAACTAATTATTGAGTGTCGACTACACAGAAAGTGCTTCTAATTGGAAAAATTAGGGCGAGTGGGGGATTAAGATCTTCTAGGATAAAAATTGAATGAACAATTAAGCATTCCTTTTAGAGACGTTTAAGGAACAGCTCATAAAGCGTTCCGGGCTTTTTTTCTGGTGGTTGGCATTAATTGTGCTCAACAAATTGAAAAATTTCAGGCTCGAAAAGAAAGACGGCAACCTCCTTGCAACCTTAGGGCTCACTCAACTGCCGATCTAGTCTAATAGGTGCTAGGAGAAATTAAATGTGCCAGATTTTGCACCTCATTGGTTCCTCAACACTCATAATCTACCGGCATTTGTACCTATTCGCTCTTATATTCTAATATGTCTTCACACAAACCATAATAAAGAATTGGCCAAACGAGGAATTTTTCACAGGGTATAGGGTTTAAGAGAACATTGAGAAGTTTTTATGAGTCTAGTATGGTTAGAGTCTATTAGAACTACCATTTATAAAACAAAGCGATTGACAAATTAAGAGGGGAACGCGCCACCATTAGGATACCGTAATCTCACAAAGTATTAAAAAAAAAGTTTGCAGGAAGAAGTAATGGAAGGCTGGGAAACATATTGTGGAGGGCGGGCCAAATTTTTTGAGGCAGGGGGCGTGGCGTCGCTGGCGATTCAAAATTTGGCGCCAAGCTCATTTTTTGAAATGCGTGGAAACCTGCAGAATTTTTTCGAAGGCGTTTTTCGCGCTAATAAGACCGTGACAGTTAAGCGATTTGAAAATTGTCCAATTCGCCTGTCTTCGACAATATCGAGAATAGAAATAAGCTTTTGCTAAAAAAGAATTACAGTCGATGTGATCTCTTAGATATTGATGATGTTTAAAGGAGCATGGCCCAATTAACGGAATAGTGAGATGAGCAGCAACACGAGTTGGTAGAATAAACAAAAAATGATACTGCGCTGGGAGAAGGGAGGAGGCATCGCGGCGAACTCCTTCCGATGACCCGCCTCTAATGTGACATGTGGGCGAATATAAACAAATTTAAGTAATAATATATCACAAAAACGATACGATAGTGTTACAAATGATCCATCTCAACGAAAAGAGCACATTCTAAACAAAAAGTTGTAAAATCGAGGAGCGATTTTCGCAAGCCATCGTAAATTCGCGAAAAATTCGCCGAAAATCAATGCACTTTTACGGACGATGCCCTTTTATAGACTCGCCGAAATTTGACGTGCGCGTTTTGGGCAACGGCAAGGATTTTTAGTGGCAAAAGGAAACTGCCGACTAATCACCGAAACGGAGCCATCATTAGTGGAAGCCGTGTGAATGAAGTCAAAAGGTTATGCCGCCGAAAGCTTCGAAAGGTTAATCCAGGGTTAAACGGACACCCACCTGTCGCTTAATAGAATCCTTTTGGAGAGCTTCGAATATCCATTCTCTCTCTCTCTCTCTGTCGATAGATATGAATGGGATATGCATATCCACTAGTATCACCTAGCAAAAGATCTTCTGTTAAATATTGCCGAATTTTTTTTTCAGTCAACTATACTACCAAATAAAATTAAATTCAGCGCTCCAAACGTCTGAAAACCAGTATTGCAAAAATGGCAATGATAGCCGGCATTCAACTTTTACGATTTCGGCATGAAATTTTTAATTTTTTACAACTTCAATACAATTTTTCAAGAATATATAAAGTTGATTTATGAGGAAAAATGTTGTTTGTAATCGAGCTTAAAGAGCTCCCAAGAAATGTCGGATCATCACAAAAGTGTCACGTCTGCTCCCGAATGTCTGCTCCATAAACGAAACTGTTCTCCCCGCAGCGCGTATACCATCATAAAAATTTGCTCAAAGCCATGCCGTCTGTTCTTTCCGTTTCTGGTGACTAATTCCTGCCGCGTAGGTTTTTACCGTATGATTCATAGGCAGTATGTCTGGGAAGTGGAGTTTGAATATTTTTCGTCGTCATTTTTTGATATATATATGTATGACGGCAAAAAGGGACGCGACTTTTTAATTTCGAAAAAAAAATACTAATTACTGCTAAGCACTTATAAATTTCACTTGGGGCTTCTTGGTAAGTTGATTATATACAGGGTGGTCTCGAATTTCGAGAAAAACAATTATGTTTGTAGTAATTATACCAAATATCAAATTTCTTAAATAAAAACTTTTGCCCGAGTATCAGCTATCAACACTTTCGCGCTACATGGACCATTCCCTAATAAGGAATTCGAGAAACCTCAAAACACATTCACCTCAATGTCCAGCATTCTTATAAAAAATTTCGCGATTCCATTTGACCAAAATGCAATAAACTGTATTGAATTTTATAGTCCGAATAAATTTCGGCCACCCTCTATTAATTAAGAACAATGAAATGTTGGACTCGTCCATTTTCTTCAACGAATTTCCGTTGATCTTAGGACACTCAAAAATTTGAATTTGATCTCGTATTGAAAATATGTTTCTTACAAATTCGATATCTATTTTTCTCGTGCAACAGGTGCAAGTGACACGTACGGGTCGTAAATTTCAAAATTTCATTGTTTTGCCAAGATGGTCGGTTCGTATGAATAGGCGCAAATGAGAGCGCTATTGTTATCAATTCTATTGAAACAAAACTCTCAAATTTCAAATTCTTTGAGATTTTTCGATTCGGCGAAAACATGAAAATATCAAGATATGCAGGGGGGGGGAATTGAACTATACATGTATTTTCTATAACAATGGTGAGTAATTCTAATTTGCGCCTTTCAATCTTTGGCACATTTTTTTGCGGAACCTTCAAAACCCTCCTTCTTGCAATAGCAGCCAATCACCACAATATTCCTTTTTCCAGGATCATGTCACTGTTTGGCACCAATGTGCTATCCGCCCTCGAGGCGAATGGTGTCACTGTTGGAGAGGCCTCGAGATGTGAAAATGCCCTCATTAGAACAATGGCCCAAAAATATCGCAATAATATACGTGGATCGCCAACAAGTCAATCAATCTGTACAAGAGATTGACAAAAATTGTAAAAAATCATCAAGAGATTGCAAATGTTATCGCATATTTTCAATTTTTTACATTCTTTTAGTTATATTCAGCTTATGAAAGAGATTAACTTTCAAAAATCACGCCAAATTTGAAGGTTTGGCTTTACATTTTTGAATGTGGGATGGAATGGTTGAAATGCAAAAAAAACTGATAAAATCACATTTCAAAATCGGTCCGATTTCAAAAAATCTGAAATTTATTAAAAATAAAAATCCCTTCTAATTATGTGAATTTTAATCGAAATTAAGTTACTTTGACATTTTCGCAAAATTCCCAGCATTTTGGTTGATTTTTGAAATCTAAAACCAACTCATAATTTCTTTCTGCTCCATTGTTGCCTGCAAAAAATATCTAGCCCACGGCGGGACTCGAACCCGCATTCCCGGTTCCGGAGTCCGATACCTTATCCATTAGGCCACGCGGGCGCCGGAAGACAATGAATTAAAACAATATATGTAAACAGCGGGCATCGCCAAGCTGTCCACCGTTCAGAGTTGTATGACTCATTAATCGAACGCGAAATGCTGTCTTTTTGTAAAACGGTGTATAGGATAAGGGGGAATTGACAAAATTTAGTTTCGACGGGGGATTGCGCAACAGCCGCTTTATTCAACTCAAATTCTACTTTTTTTCAAATTAGGATATATGGCACTCAATCCATAAACTTCGGCAGATCATGATCGTGGATTCAAATAAAGTTAGGGGAGACACTTCCTGCGATTATAAGTCTCGGCGGGCTTGGCGTAGCGAGCAGCAAACAGTTGTCTTGAACATGGAAAGCCCTTTTCATCATTAATGGATCATAGAATGGAACATAGGGGAAGGCTTCGGTCCAGTGGATCAAGGAAGGCTTCGAGTTCTTACTGCTCCTTTGGTACTGTGCCATCAAAATAGTACAAACTTTTGAGGTCAAGTGAGCTCCTCCTCCCTTACAGTTTCGTTCGAGACAACTTCTTTTTCTATTTTGAACATTTAAAACTTATCACAAATTGAAAATTTTTTCGTCGGGGGAGGCAACGATGGCAAAGGAATTTCTCGATAGCTCACGGACATTCCTCTCGGCCGCCGCTGCTCCCTGCTTCGAACCTTCTGCGCCGTGTAAGCGCAGGAAGTTGTTGTGAACGTATAATCTAGGGGTTATCGAAATAAAGGTTCAAAATTTGAAACTGTGGACCCGAAATTTTTTGAAACTATTGCAGAAAACGGCATGGGACACTCGATGGGAGAATTTTGCCAAATAGTTATGGGCGAAATCAGAAAAAATTACAAAAATCGTATTCAAAACCATTTTCCTTATTAGCTATTTTCCTAATGTCTTCCTTCTTCATTTATTATTATTTATGATAATTATGAATTTTAGCCAAAAAAATGTTTGATAGTCAAGGTAACAGATTTTCCGATGAAGTCGAAGAAATGTTTTCGTCTCGCCTAACTTTATTTGAATCCACGATCATGATCTGCCGAAGTTTATGGATTGAGTGCCATATATCCTAATTTGAAAAAAAGTAGAATTTGAGTTGAATAAAGCGGCTGTTGCGCAATCCCCCGTCGAAACTAAATTTTGTCAATTCCCCCTTATCCTATACACCGTTTTACAAAAAGACAGCATTTCGCGTTCGATTAATGAGTCATACAACTCTGAACGGTGGACAGCTTGGCGATGCCCGCTGTTTACATATATTGTTTTAATTCATTGTCTTCCGGCGCCCGCGTGGCCTAATGGATAAGGTATCGGACTCCGGAACCGGGAATGCGGGTTCGAGTCCCGCCGTGGGCTAAACATTTTTTGCAGGCAACAATGGAGCAGAAATAATGTGCTGGCTTTAATTAAAATTAAATTTTGGAATTTCGCAAAAATGCATAATTTCGTATTTCATAACACTGTAGAATTCGAGCAAATAATTTAATAATTTTAACTCAGCGAAAATAGAAGTTATTTTAATTTGTTTCTCTTACATCATGTGGATCACATTTTTTTGTTTCTCAGCCGGCTGTCTTTATCAGTTGATTGCGTAGTCTGTCTCAGTCATATTGCACAAAATTCGTGACTATTATTCAGTTCCAAAAATATGAATTCCTTATTTTTACTGAATCAAAGTGAGCCTTTTTCATTAGCTCTGCATAAAAAGCTGTATTTGATTTTCAATATTACGTTGGCCATTTTAAGTAATGCTTCAACGTCGTGAGAAATGATATATATTTTCCCCATAGTGCTAAATTACAGCACACCCATAGCAGCTGCCTCTAATCACATGCGTTCAGTGTTAAAATTTGCTAATGGCTTTCGAGTTTTCATCTTTGAATGCCCATTACCAAATAAAGCTTGTCTGATTCACTTTTTCAAGTAAAAATCGAAGCTTGCAAATTTTGGACCCACAATCCTATTTCAAAAATTTTTCGAAGGACCATTTTGCGCCACCCTTCTGCGACACCTCCAACCACGCCGCTAGCCGTTTGCCACCCTTCCGGGACACCAAAAAATATGTGTCGCAGAATGAGGGCAACAATATTATTTAATAATTATTTCGAATTTTTGTAACTCTTCGTTACACCGCTTTAACGACTTTTTTTTAATTCGTAAATTACCCATTTTTACAGTTTGCACCCGGTAATAAATTTGGGATCGTTTCAAGATTGAGCTCCACTACCAAATATGTCCAGCATGACCTGCGAGGATCACTATAATCGATTGATACTTGAAATCGCCACCTTTAATAAAACAGTGGTATGATTTTCGAAAAAAATAATAAACCTAAAAGGAATTTGCAGAAGTATATTCGTGATAGACAAAAGGATTTGTTTGGATTTATAACTATATCATTTGTCTGCAGTAGGATCAAAATACAACAGCTTCGAAAGCACCTCAGTATTTTGCATGAAATATGTCAGTTAGGGGCTTGTGATCATGAGGGACTCAATGTAAGTATTTAATTTCAAATAATTAGCTATATAAGCTGTTGCAAAATCCCATTTTCAGACAATTATTGAGCAGTATCGGCAGACAGTTCAGCTAATTGTGACCAAATTCGAAACCATCGCTGAAAAAAAAATCGACGAAATCGATGACGATATAGTGTATGAAGACATTGACAACGAGGAAAATGAGATTATTGATATGGATTCGTTTTACACAAATTTTGCTGAAGACTACTTTCGTGTGAAAATTATCAAGGAGGTAACATTAAGCGAACAAGTATTCATTAATATTTGAATGTATTTTAAGGCAATCAGTCAAGCAGAAGCCGCCAAAGAGAAAGAAATACAGGAGGAGCGTCGTAGAAGGAAGGAAAAATGCATTGCGATGCATTTGGAGCTCTACAAGCAAATTATTTCATTTCGAGAATCGATGGTAACACAAACATACTGAAATTATTAATATTCAATTTTGGTTAGGCTAACTTCCGCCTTTTTCAACTTCGAGCTTTCGGGCTCATCAGCATGAAATTAGAAGAAGGCGATATGCAGATGTCAACTCTGATGAGAACCATGTCAAAGCACTATGAAGAATGCATTGGCCTTAGTTGCAATCATGCCCAATTAAATGCAAGTGTCAAATTGGAGGTTAGAATATTTTAAGCTTCCAATTTAGGAGCATATGAAAGAGTGCCGAGATTTATATCAAAATGTGGAAAAGGATCATGAGTTATTGGTTGAAAAGTATTTCGAAGGTAGTGAGGAATCAAAGGAGCCGCAACTTTACGCTGAGCACATTTCGCGGGAGATCCTCGAGGAAGAAACGAGTGTGAAGGCTGACGACGCACATGGCGATTCAGACAATGAAGCCGCATGTGAAGTGAAGCCAGATGATCTTGTGTGTAGAAAAAATCAGCGCAACTGCACTCAACTTTATACCGTATTCATGAACGAGGTCCCTTTGATGAAAGAGGATATGGTATGAGTTAAGATATGGTCTGAAATGTATCTGAAAAGTTTAGGAGAGTCTTGGTAGAAATTTGCTTGCGAGATATGGAGCAACGAGCATGTTGTATGATAAATCTCTAGTGAAAATGGCTCAACTGGAATCGTCGATCTCACTTATTTGTGAAGCCTGTCTTCTCAGCAAATGTAACCATTACCAATTCCAGGTGAGTATTTGAAAAAATTTAATTTTAAGCGCGTTTTATTATTGCAGAAATTGATGAATGAGTATTGGGATGTTTACGATATGATTGCAGACGAGCATAGCAATTTAATGCTGACGAGATTGGAGGTATTTTTTTAATGATACATTACATAATAGGAGAAATCGGAAAATTACAGAGAGAAATTGGAATGCAACAAACTGGAAATAATTATGACGATCTGAATAAGGTTGTCTGCGATGTCGATGTGACGGACCACAATGAATTTCTTGTTGGCAATGAAGAAGATGAAGCTACTAAAGAAAGCATTGAATCTGATAGAGAAGCAGTGATGGAAGTCAATGAAGAAGATCATCCTGTTGAATCAGTCTCAATTGTTGAGAATCGTCATGTTTGTTCTGAACAGTTTGGAGATATTCGAGAAGAAATTCAGCGCTGCCAAAAGGACTTGGTAATTTTTACGAAGCAAAACATCTGGAATTTGAATTGAAATATTTCAGGAAAGACTTGGTCGATTGATTTTTACCCATGGCATTCTCAGCACGGTGTACAAACGCGAGAAAAGAAGAATGAAGCGGCTGGAAAAGTCTCTCACCATGATTAGTCATATGTGTAATCTCAACAAGTGTAGTCATCTTCAGTTTAAGGTGAGCTTATATGTATAAAAAAGCTGAAATTAATTTATAAATTGCAGAAACTAGCAAATGAGTTCCGAGAAGCTTTTGCAAATGTTCAGAACGAGTACAAAGATTTGATGGTCGCGAATATGGATGAAAAACGAGGAGATGGAGCATCAAAGCAGACCTACAAGGATCGAAAAAGTTGCAATGAAATATTGGCCAAATTTTATGAAGAATCGACAATGTTTAAACAATACATGGTATGCTAAATATTGAAAATAATGAAAATTAATTGAAAGATTTAGAACGCCGTTGAGAAAATGCTGATCTTCGAAGGATCAACGAGCACTGTGTATACTCAAGCTAAAAAGAAAATGGTTTGCTTGGAGCAGACCATTGCGTTAATCTCCGAGGCGTGCAAAATGAAGAGCTGCAACCATAAGCAATTTAATGTTAGTTGTTTTAATTAATCATAATATTCTTAAATCATATATACAAGGGAATTGATAATTGCAGGCTTTGATGAAGCAATACAGAGACACATTTAACTTGGTGCAAGCTGAACATCAAATGCCAATTGGCATTGTTGACCAGAATGATAATATCAACCCATATAAGGTATAGACTTCAAAATTTTGGTATTTGATGTTAAGTTTAGGAAAATAAGGCATTGGAGCATCGTCAAGCTGTTGTTAATGATGAATATGTTGAAGATGAGCAAACCGGAAATGATGCCATTCGAGAGAACTCCAAAGAAAAGATCTAGGCTGTATTTGTAATTTTAATTAATAATTAATGCACCGTTGTTATACTATCCCAGTTGAAAATAAATCATGTAGAAATTATCTTTCTTTATTTATTTTTTCCAAAATTTGCAAGAAAAATTTATAGTTTTGCCATAGACTTTATTCCAGTTGACGTGTGTGTGTGTGCTTAAATGGCGTTTTCCATTTGTTTAATTGTCTCGATATATTAGATGTATTGACCCTACGATGCTTTAGATTGAGTTTTACATGGTGAGTACTTACCACCAAAGGGTGGTGATGAATTGTCGATAAAACATATTATATAGATCATATTGGCAACACTATTTCAGGGTTTACCCTGCATAACGCATCTATTCAATTCTTAATTAACGCTTAATTTTTTATTAATGTTGTAGATTTCCAAATCATTTTTTTTTATTCTGACGGTGCATAAAGTTTGATAGGAAAATTCGAAACGCTCCAAAAATGTTCAAGGTTTTGGTAAGAAAACAACCAAAAGCAATCCATATTTCAAAAAAATGAATATTTCCTAGGTTAAGGGCTAGTCAACATTTCCAACGAAGAGATGTCTAGAAAAATACCGATATAAATAATTCCTACAAATACTAAAATAGATATTCCCCCCCCCCTCCTATTGGTATACGACTTGTCTTATTAAAATTAGTAATTCCTAAAAATTTGTGATTGTTTTTCAAAAATACAACGTACGAATTCATCAATATATTTTATCTTCAAAATCAAACTCATAGTAGTTCAATAATACACAAAGTCGTCATCATTATAATCAGGATCTATCGGCAAATCTTCGTCTTCGTCTCCACTCTCCATTGAAACCTGAAATAAGGAAATTTTTTGCTTTCGATATCAATCAAATTACCCTCATATGAGCATATGCATGTTCTTTCTTATTACTATAAATATCATAAGGTCTTCGGCATAGGTTCCATCTTTCCACATCGCTATCGTGACAGTATTTAAAAATTTGCTAAATGCTTTATCATATGCATACTGCTTAAATAAATTAAAATAGTACCGTAAGATTACACTTCTCAATAGTCGTCGTCGATTCCGTGTACACCGGCACAATTGTACAATTGATTTTTCCCATGAAATTATCAAATCTTCCACATATGCGTTGAGAAAATTCTTTGCAGAGGCTGTCAAATAAATAAATCTGAATAAATTCAATGGATTTGATTTTCTGAAAATTATTCGAAATTCACTTTTTGGCACAGTCCCAACACGTTTTCCTTTTCGACATCATAGTGAGCCACTGCCACAAAAGATTTTCCCGACTTCCAATTTTTTACATTCTCACGCCATTCATTTTTGTGAGCTTTTTCGAAATAATTACTGAAAGTGACTAATTATTCAAGATACAATTGTCGAAAAATTACCTTTTGAAGACACTTGATTCGATATTCACTTGGCTCAGTCTATTAGCCAGCATCACGCACGCTTCATCATTACTGGAATACACCAAAATTCTGTCTGAAATTAAAATTAATGTAGTTTTAAAAATAAAAAATCAATAATTACCAAGAGAGTCTTTGGGATTCAGCGATTTGACAGCGCCAGCAATTTCAAATACCAACTTTTTTATTTTTAGAGCGTCATTACCAATTCCTTCCTCATTGCGAAGCTTAAATTCATAATATATATTAATTCTTAAATTTTAAGATATACTTGAAGTGGAACAATGTCAAATTTCTTCTCTAATAGTGAAGTCATTTGCGTAAAACTATTTGAAGAAAAAACTCTGCAAATTAATTTGACAAGAAAAAAGAAAAATGAGCAGGTTAATACGAACAAAGAGCGATTCACAAAAAATTGGTCACACGTTTAAATGGAATAAGAAAATGGCGTCCGTTCGACGCGTATGTTAGACATCTCGGACGCGTCTTTTGTCATTGAGGACATGGTGTTAATTCGCGAAAGGTTATGATGCACATCATCATGACTAATAGCACATTTGTGTCAGGAGTCATTTGAAAATGGTCTAAAAAAAAATATAAGAGAACACATTTAAATTAAATCATTGATTTAAAATATTTGGATTTTTGTCAATTTTAAATTGGCTAAATGCCAAAAAAGTTAAAGAGTGCCCGGTGTGCGCCTTTAACCTATTCCAATCCCCGTAAATCTACACATTTGGCGCCAATGCCACGGTCATTATTTTTTGGGAATTTATTCAATGTTCCGCCAATTAACCAGCCGTCTAATAGAGCGCGCTGGAGGAAATTTTGGGCTCATAACCGTGGAGATCTTGGGTTCCATCGCGCTCTGGCTCGGAGTGATTCCCTCTCTCTCTCTCTCTGTGCCTCCTTCCACAGTACGCTCTCTCGCTGTCTTGCACCCTCTCAATTGTACACATTGATTTGTCTTATTCAAAGGATTTTATTAACTTTGATAGTGACAAAATTAAACATTGTAGTTAAAAATTATTATTATTGTTATTATAGTAGTGGCCGAACACGAATGGGATTTATTCATCATGCGAAGGTCTCGTATATCAGGGAAAATCAATCAAAAGCGAGTTTCGTTGATAAGAAAGAGCAAAATTAATAGAAAATAAATATTTTGATTATTAAGAAAAAAAGCAATTTGATAGAATTGAATTCAATAAATTTGAACGCTACCATTTATAATAATAGGCAGTCCGCGAAATTCAATTTTTTTTCAACTTCGTCAGCCAAACAATCTTGAATATTTTAATTTTCCAAAAACTTTTTAGAAATATCAAAATAGTATTAAAAATAATTCTAAATTTTAATAGTATTTAGCAAATATTATTGAGAATTTTTAAGCTTTCAAAAATGTAAAAAATTTTCTGAAATTTAATAATTAAAAAAATGTGTTTTTTTTTTTTAATTTTCAAATATTTGATTGAAGAGTTTTTTTATTATCTTAAACCATTTGCCTCAACGCAATAGACAATCGTAGATTTCGTTTTCTTCGCATTCTTCTTGATCTGTTCTTATTTCTGTTCTTCTTTCTTTTTTTCTCTCTTTTTTTCTCGTCTTTAACGTCTTGTATAATCTTGCGAATTCTTTCCATTATAATGTAATGTAGTCTCAAACATATCTGAAATTAAAATAATCATTTCAGAACAATGAAGCTCTATTTTACAGCTAGAAGACAGTGATTATGAATATTGAGCATACATTGAACCCTATAACTCCATATCATCTTGAAAATGTCGTTTGCAATGCTCATGAGAACTGCACTGTCTGGAGTCTTGGGCAGCTCATCCTAAAAGTCCCAATTAAGCTGATATTTCAACTACTATAACTAACCACGAGAACCGAGTAATCAAGAATTTCGCGGAATATTTTCATCCAAATATCGCCACAACCACCCTCCATTGCCTACAAATAAAATTTGAGAATTTTATATATATATATAGTTGGCGTTCGGCGACTGCTGTACGCGGGTAGATTTACGCGCATGCGCCTTGAAAAGGTCTCGCCACATATGAACGCTTATTTTGCTGTTTTCGCGTGGACTGCTTTATTTTTCTTGATGAGTTTCGAATTTCCTTGAATTTCCAACGTCATTCGATTAAAACCTTATCGAACCGGTTCGTAAAATTTGAAATAACCTGTTAGTCCTTACAAGACCATTTCGAAAGACGCATCCCCGTAAATCTACCCGCGTACACCAGTCGCCCGACGCCGACTACATATGAAAATTTTTAAATTACATTACAAAACATCTCCGGAAATTTTCCGGGATACTCCACAATCGGCTGCATGTGGCTGACCCGAAAATTGTGGCAAGACAGAAAGTGCACTCGTAAATCCACTTAGCTATTTTAGTGACTGGAAGCCGAATTTATTTTTCTATTCATTCAATTCGTAAATCTACAGTGATTTCGTGACATGAAATTCGCCGTCTTCGTGCTACAACACCATTAATAAAATTGTTTTTAGCAAACAATTAGCTTTAATTCAACCTAGACGCTTTTTAGCGGTTCCTCAAATTGCAAAAAGGAGATTAATATGCATAGAATAATTATCCATAGTGTCATTAGCTAATTGCTCAATTATGATATTAACAGCACCTGTCAATCTGTATTGGCGGATTTTTCTATTGTTTCCAGTCGGCGACCGTGGCGGTAACTCAAACAAAAAATCCGTGTCGACCCGGCCGCAAAAATAAGAGCCATCTGTGATGTCATCATTCAGATGGGTTCCAAGACAGTCAACCTCAATTTTCTGAGGTATTCTCCTATTGGCTGAGACTGCTTTGTCAAGAAATAATTCGTGTTTGATAGAAATATTGTCGACTTCAAACGAGGGTTCGCTTAAGGAATATTGAGTTTCGCCAAATCAGAGTAGATCTACGAAGTTGTAAAATTATGGCTGAGCATTAAAAGTGCGTACGCTAAAATGCAGAGTACGCAAACACGCGAATATCTCTTTGCCTCTGGACTGAATTGCAAATAGCCTATCTTTTTTCTCTTTCTGTTCAATCGTTCGGCGTCTTTTATTTCATGGGACGATTCATTAACAAATAAGGAAGAAAATTTGAATGAATGTATCGAATTTTGATAGGGTTCGTGAGTATGCGTCTTAAATGACGATAATTTAGTGATATTTTGAGTTTAAAACGTTTAGTTATTTAGCAAATGACGCAAACCGTTTATTTGGGACGGGTCTTGACGCGAACCGCGAAAAATCGTCGTTCGAAATTTTGTCTTTTCTTTCGGAACCCCTATGAGTAATTATTTTTATTTTTCTTTTATAGTTTTCATTTGTGTTATTTTTTCGAACAAAATAAAAATTTTAAAATGTTGTTTCCTGTTTTCTTGCTATTTCCCCATCATATTTTAGTTTATTTATGATTTTTAACGTAACTTATAAGAGTTGCAAATAGTATATCCTTTTCTTTAATGTTACGTGCACTTTTGGACAATGGATATGCTTCTAAACACCATAAAAGGGCGTCTGACTGATGATGGTTATGAGAGCAACATCGATTCAATTTACGGCAACCTTTCTATATACCGAGAAAATTATTATGAAAGATTAATCCCAGTTAATCTCGCTTTCGAAAATAATTCATGGTTTCATATTTCGGCGGGTTGTCGGAGGTTATCAATTAACTGGACCAATTTTCGTTAACAAAAATATTCTACAAGTTTAAATTTTCATAGAGATATGATCAAAAATTTTCTACATGCGAAAAAATTTTGCTGCACTTTGAGCCCAAATGGGAAAGGTTCAAATCTTACCAAGATGAATTGAAGACGGCCAACGAGCTTCTAGCTAATATCGAAATAGAGCACAACTTCTGACTGCGATGATTTTGATGGTTAAGCTACTCAAGAAGGATGAAGCTATAATGGGTAGAGAATCAGAATGAAAGAAGAAGGACATAAATACGATAGGAATGAGAGAAAAGAAGGTGCTTAAACAAAACACCGCTGAAATCAATGAGGGCAAAAATGAAAGTGCGCGAATGCTTCTGATTCATTGCACATTTTATCAAATTATTTTCGAGCCACTAATTGGCAAAAAATTGAAATTATGCGTGATTCATACATGTTTTTGTGGTTTATGGAAAATTAGTTAATTGGCAATAGAAGATTTAAGTGAATGGAGTATTTTTCTGAGCCTCTACAATAGGAGCACAAAATTTCTGGACCTAGTTAATTAGTAAAATTTTCGGATGATCATCATGTGAACAAGTTTAATTTTTTTGCGACAAATTGCATTTAAAAATTTGAGAAAATAAATTTCGATTTTTTGATAATGCAACGAAATAATAAAAAAGAAATTAAAATTTAGATTTAAAAAAAAATGAAAATGGCAGACGTGAAAAAAGCCATGGCCGAATAATTCGCGGCCGCGGCCGTCCCAAATGGTAGCCTTTTATTCAAATCAACTATTGTAAACGGTTACCACAATTTTTGTTCAATAGAAACAGCTGAACGCACAAATAAAAAGTTACCAACTTCGCTCGAAATTTTGAGCTCATAAGTTTGTTGAACAATTTAAATGTAGACATTTTAGATCGTTTCGAGAAAACCCCCATGAAATTATAAACTGTACACAGATGATAGTGTTTGGTGAAATTTTGAGCCATTATTCGTTATTCACATTGCCTAATAATTTTTTCCGTTTTTGAGAATAATCAGATTCTAGAAGACATTAAATTTATTGCCCAATTTTCGACCATTTTATTGGCTCATTGATGTGATATTTATCACGGCATGGGAGGCTATTTAAACACATCATTTCATCCGTTTCATTCCAATTATTTGTTCCATTCAATTTTTCCAGTTAAAAATTGAGAAAATAGTGAGCTACCGTATTGAAATGAGTCATCAATCCTCGCCCAAATTTTTTCTCCCAAATGATTCATATCTGCGTCTCTCTTCTTCTCCGTGATATTTCTCATTTATTTATAACATTTTCCTCCTGGTTGGTGGCCAGTTTTGCTTGAGTTTCCTCTCGTAACATTCGACTTTCGAAACTTGAGATTTTTTCAGTTTTGCCCGACAAGTTACCATCTCCGTTTTACAACTTTTAAAAAATTCACTAAATTGCCGGTAGCATAATTCTCCAGCACGACTAAAAAAATCGATTTTTGTGCAAATCCTAAAAATCCAAAATTTTGAAAAAAAACCAATAGCGAAATTCTCGAGAAAAGCATTCTTCCTATATAATGATTTTCAATATCATCGCAGCCAATTTTTCCTTTATGCAATTTTGTGTTCATCAATTTCCCAACACTATTTTTCTTTCTTTCCCAATATTTATTCATATATTTTTCTGATTGCTGCCTTATCATTGATCCTTCTTGCCATAATCGTTCAACCAATTTCCTGTGACTCTCCAATCATAAACAAGCGCGCATTTTCTTTTAACATGCAATCTGCATGTCGCCTTGATGGAGTTCACGCGGTGCCGCCGGAATCATTGCCGCACGGAGTTCGATATTCTCCAAAATTCACAACATATCCAACTGCACCATTTTACATGCTTATCAGTGCCATCAGCTATATTATTCCGAAGATCTTCTTTGTTCTTATCTTGAAGGCATTAGGTTTGGCCCAATCATAACCATTCATGTATTGCCTATTCAAATTCAGCATTCCCATTGGTTTATATTTGTGGAACTGCTTATCTCATTTCATGGAAGGCTAAAGAAGAAAGAAAAAAAGAATTACGCGAGATTGCGATCACATTAAGATCAAGACTTCGTCGCAATGGATCAATTCGAAGGTAGCATCAATTTTCAAAAATCTAAAAAAAACTATATTTCAGTTACGCCATACACTATTTGCTATACAAATTGGGATATCTCTTAAATTGTGCCATCCAAATAATCGCTCTTCCCTATTTTCTGGGTATCAATTTCGATTCCTATTGGGTGTACATGGTATTGCTCAATAATTCCGTACAATGCGGATCAAACTATTCATATTTCAGATCACTCGCCCATTCTCTTTTCTCAATCCGGTGAAACCCGATATGTTTCCTGATAATGGAACATGCTGGATTAATGTCACTGAATATATCAAGCTGTTAAGAGTGGTTCCAGAACAAAGTGTTACTTGTAATTTGACCATCAACAGTGGAAATGAATTGATTTTCGATATTATTGGGTAAGATTTCATTCATATTAAAATTTATTGCCTATTTCAGATACTATCTTATATTCATCACTGTTATCACCTTTATTGGAAATATTCGATGCTACTATGAATTGGGAAATTTGAGCGAATATATCAAAGATGTCTTATCTATTGAAGTATTATGTCAGACTTCAAGATCTCTTCCAACCAATCATTTTTTCAGCTTGACGCGGAACAAAGGCATCAAGAAATTATCGAAATGTTTTTAAAGAGTCTTGGTTATGGTAAAATCGATTGATTAAATTTTCAGACAATTAATCTTTTCTCAGATGGTTACGTTACATTGTATCTAGTTGGCTGCGACAATATTTTTATCAAGAGGGAGCTCATTTTGCAGCTTTATTCAGATTACGTTGAAACGCACAATGAGGTCGCTTTTGCAGTTTCCCGAATTATTTTTATATTTTATATTTCAGCTCATGGAATCTGACAAGGAATAGCTGAAATCATTGATATCCTTTTTTTGAATGTTTTTTGATTCATAAATTATATGTGTTATTGGGTTAATACGAATAATCACACAATCACAGTGATCACAAAAATCGAAAAGGTGGTGGGGGCTCTCATGTTAGATATGCAAATTAATTGTGAATTGTTTGGGACTTAAATTAAAGTAGTGAGAAGGGGGGGGGCTCATCTAACATCTCATCTAAGATCCGATGCTCTGAGATTGCCCTCCCTCATTCCCACTATGAGAAGTACTAATGGGATACTTTCCTCTGATTGCGCACCTCAATTCGTTTTAAGGATTCTATCAATTTTGAATTTGTAGATCAGTTTCAAAGGGCACAATTAATTCTACTCAGTAATATTTAAAATAATTGTTTAATTGTTTTTTTTTGGGCTCGCTCTTTCTATGAGTTAGTTCTGCATTTGTGGGTGGAGCTTGTCGAACACTTTTCCCTCTCCGATATATTTTTCAATTCTGCAATGAATCATTCTACCTCACTCCATTCAAAAAGCCGATTTTCATTCGTTTCAAATGCCCTTGTGCATAGCTAGGCTGGTTGTAGCATTCAAGCAACCTACCTCAATATTCTATACAATTCTCTACTCTGTTAACTGATAATACTTAATCAACAGTCTGGTATCCAGCAAAACTTCTTCAATTCAACAATATTGAGGAGTTGTACTGGATATCAGACGGATGGTTGAAGGAATTTTCATAAAATACATATATTTGAGGGATTTTCTTGTTAGACTTTCATAGAAATTACAGAGACAAGGAAAAACTTGTCTGCAGCAACTGACGACTTAAAAGGAAATTTCGTTTGACATGAATTTCTTTGAATATCGAATTAATTAGAAAATAATGGTAAACTTGAAGAGAAGCTTCTTCAAATTGGTACCTGGATAAACCTTTTCTTTTTTTTCCTTATCCAATTTCTCTATCTTCTCAAATTTAGAGTTGATATCAATGTGAAAAGATTGAAAATTGCGTAGAAAAAATTTTGAAAATTAAAAATTCACCATGTTCACATCGAATACTAATTGATTGGGACATATATTGATAGCGTTAGTCCGAATATTTATATTCTGTTTTCTGCATTCTCTAGCCAATTGAACCAATTAGCCATGGTTTTTCCATCTAATTGAGTTACTTTCTAAGTTTCAGATTTGTTTTGTTTGGTTGACAATTCCCAATAGAAAAGTGGGAAAATGTTGCTCCAGATGAGTTATTAGTCACGAGCCAATTGCCCTTTATGAAATTATAAAGTTTATTGTTCAAATTTTTAAAACCGCACATGGCATAAAGTGCCAAGATTTTCGCTTTTCAAAAAAAATTTGAAATTATTTTCACGATACGATCAGGTAATATGAAACCATGCATAAGATTAATTCTAGGATACAGTTGGCCTCAATTAAATTGGGATTAATTTTTTGAGCCTTTTGGCGGCTCATTATTAGCAGAAGGGTTGTCAATTATTGCTGCTCGCAGAGTCATTAGATAATTGCTCAATTATGATATTAACAGCACCTGTCCCGCTTTGTCAATTCACCCAATGTTGACTATTATCGGCAATAGAAAATAATCTGGAACCATTTAGCAAGGATTCCAGGGATTCTCTACAGAGAAAAACTGAAGCTAGCAGCAAACGCGCCCACTTCGTTCAAGCTAGCCCCGAATGGGTGAACTAGCAGAAAATTCTCTGTTTCGTACTGTTTCCTGTGGATACGAAGGCTCAACTAGATTACAATAAAAGGGGAAAATTCCACAACATTTTTTAGTTTTTTTTTTTAATTTGGAAAGCTTGTTTATCATGATGCCAATAAGACTCGGCGGTTGGTAAAGTTGATTCAATTCCCATGGCTCTTTGATAATTTGATTATTCGAATTCATTAAAACATACCATCGCGTTTTTAGAACTTTCAGTACAATTATGGTTCTGTTAAGGTATAGAAAAAGAAAAATCTGAAAACTTTACAGTAAATGGAGTTTGGAAGTGATTGACCATGTTGTATTCTTTTGAACATATTGAAGAAAAATGATGCGTTAAGTACCTCTTTATATCGCGAATAGTCTCGTACATAAATAAGCTAATGACAGAGCAATGTACTTTGAGATTTGCCTGGCATGAAAAGCTAAATAAGCTGCTCCCATAAATGAGCAAGACAATAGAGAACGCAGTTATTCAAAAAGCTAAAAATTGAAATATAATAATGATTATAACGCTTACAAAATTACTGCAATTTTTGTACGAAACGAGATTATGTAAAATATATAAATCGATAGATTTTTCTCATTTATATGAACTTGTAGAATTAATGTTTCAGGAAAAAAATTTAAATTTGCAAACTATTAGAATTTAAAAAAAACTAAAACCTTATGTATTATTTGTACAAAATAATGTCTAAATAAGTGAATTTAATGCATGATGAGTATGAAATTAAATAAAGCATAAACAGTTTCAAACTTCTGTGGAATTATAATCAAAAGCACTGGAAAAAATAATCAGAAATTAATTATAAATTAGTTGATCCGAGCCTCTTGAAAATAGCGGACGAAAAGTTGTTCAACACGACTATAGAGAAAAGCGACATCGGCAATGAGATACTAAATATTTGGTATTAATTAATATTGAAAAATCTGGTTTCAATAATTCACACTCAATTTCACCAATGACTCACCCTGGCTCTTGTATTATCGCCAATTCCGCGACGGTAATCATCGGCGCAAAGAAGGAGCGCTTCAAACATATGAGTGAATTGCGCAATATACTCGGAGAAATTTGGGCAGATGAGTTTGCCATGGCGATGATTAAGATCACCCAAATTATTCTAAATGTTGTATCAGTTTTAGGAGATGTTCAGAATAATACCAATTTGTTTCGGTAGTATGCAATTTCAACTTCAAGGTCTGATGCATTTATTTGGCTGTTTAACGGAACAAACTGCATTTTTTTGTTTGGTTGGCGATTGGTTCTGAAAAATAAAGTGATAAATTTTTTACAAATTTTTTTATAGTGCGATCCGAGCCGGAGGGCTTAAAAATTGAGCGGCATTTTTTAAATTTTAGCTTTAAAAAATTTGGTTTCCAATTCCGCAAAATGAATCCCCATTTAGAACAAAATTTGAATATTTCTTTTAAACTTTTGTATATGTCAGTTTATTTTTTGATATGACATTGTAGGTATACTGAAAAATGTACGTCACGCAACAATGCACTTTTACGGGCATTGCCCTTATTGTTGAAATCAGGAGCACTTTTCACAGAAATTCGAACAATGTCCCCTAATTAGAATGTTGTAAAAGGGCAGTCGGCTCATGATTCTTTTAGATTGCATCATGGATCACATGATCTATGACAATATTGATTGATTGGAAAACATGGCATAACAATTTAAGTAACTCAATTTTTAATTGGGAATTGTCATCAAAACAAAAAAAAAACTCTGAAATGAGAAGATCAAATTTGAGCGAATCGCTTCCAAAAAAGGGTTGAATTCGTCAGAGAACAATGCCGCAGATGACAAAATAATGGAACATAAATTTTCGCACAACACAATGCTCCACAAACCGTCAAATCGCGACCCACCCTTCAAAAAATGCACAAATTGGCGGCTCATTCGTTTGAAGACAACAAAGGGATGGCTCATTCCTTCCAGCATAATTTATTTTTTTCATTTTAAAAATTTTGATAAGAGATTTAAGGGTTTTCAAAAATTAAGATAAAAGTCTTGCGGTTGACGCTAGTTAATGTGAAAAAATATTCCAACTAGAATTTTTTGCCAATAATTTTATTGATAGTGTCTTGAAATTGATATTTTTGTTAATTTTTAAAGCCAAATTCCGATTAACTTATTATAAATCCAATTTGAACATTTCTTGTATTTAAAAAGTGTTACCTGTTGTCTATGAATAAGAAACTTCAATTCTAGACACAAATTTTTGGTGAAACTTTGGTTGTCATTATTATATGAACTATTACACCAAATTTGGTTTTTGACTCAATTAATTTTCTAGAGAGCAAAATAAATTGAATTGTTCCCTTTTTTGAGCATTTTCAGTAACTGTTAATTTTATGAAATTCTTCGACCATCCGTCTGATGCCAAGAAATTGTCATCATAATTTCATGTATGATGAACAATTTCTGGGCACCAGACTGTTGGTGAAGTAGTCTTTCAGCCAACACGAATAATAGATGAAATACTCAAAATCGCCCACACGAACCCATCGGGTTTTTAGTGGGTGCCTCACCATTTTAAGAAAAGGTGTAGGCAGCTCAATAAAAACCGGACGGGAAACGGAGCACCACCGCTAGAAAATAATATGTCGGTCGACTGGCAACATTTCGAGTGAGCTGAGTGCATCGCAGAATGTGGCGAGAGAAGTATAGACGAAAAAGAGCTCGATAAGCTTCACCCTTGGAAACCGAAATGGGCGGAGTTTTGAGATTCATTTGTAGATTCGCTCAAGTTGAAAATGAAAAAATGAAAAAAAAAAACTTCAAATACAGTTATGAACATAATACAGGTGGAAATAATACAAATTTTTACAATTTTTGGCTCTGTGGGAGTATTTTCGATTCAGATGTATATTCATTCTAGTTGAATTATTGTACGGTATTCGAGCAGTGCCAATCATTAAATTGAAAGTTTTTCGCGAAAGTTTCAATAGTTAAAAAATGTTCCCTCATCGTTATTTCAATTTTTTTTTTCATTTCTATTCATCATGATAATTAGAATGAACCATTTATTGATTTAATTTCCCTGTTGACATAAGAGATCAAAAAACAAACATCTTGAAAACAGAATTGAAAGAATGAGGAAAAACAATGGAGTCAAATGAATCAATTAGGCAATGTTTTTGCATGATTACAGATTATGAGGCGAAAAAAACTGTATAAGAAGCAAAATAATGAAAATATACTTCAAGAAAGGCATTTGGGAGTATTAAATGGGTTTTCAGTATTATTTAGCTTTTGGTTAAATATTATAGAGGTATAAAATTAAGCGTCGTTTTGATCATTTTCGTTTTTAGTTTCTGAGACCGAATCGGGTAGTTTTTGTCCCAATGTTTCAGGAAGAAAGTAGAGCGCGCAACTGGTGAGGATCGCCGAAATTAAAGACATAAATACCATCACTTTAATATCAACCTGAAACAAAAAAATCATGTAACTGAAATGGCTTATTAATATTATATTACTTTTGAAAATACCAAGAAAGTTGAAGCAATCGCCCCTACGCGAGCAAAAGCCGAACAATAGCCTAGAATCGTGTTGCGAATCAACGTTGGAAATAATTCTGATGTGAACGTGGACAATATTGTATATGAAATCGAGACGCAAAATTTTGCCGCAACAATATTCGCGATTGAAATGGTGACACTCACTGAAAGCAAATGTATTCAATAAAGTAATTATTAAATTTTGTTTTACCATAATCTTTCGTTAACCAATTAATGAAGAGAAGAAGCGCAAAGCTGATAGTGCTGAACGAGTAGAAAACTTTGCGCCCAATTTTGTCAATGAAGAATAGCAAAAATAATTGAGCGATAATATCAACAGTGTGCAATAAACCAAATGTAAAGAACGGATACCCTCCACCGATATCACTTTTCATTGTAATTCCATAAAAGGACATAGTTGTGTTGAACCTATCGAAACATTTAGATCACGATATAATTAAAACTGGTATACCACATAAGGAGGCAGGGAAGAAATTGCTTTAAGATTTTCACGTTTCGAAATGGCTCGATCATTATAGCCGAAGAACTATTTGACGATGTGTTTGGAACCTCCAGTAATGATCTCCTAAAATTCCAAAGATTTGAGCATCTCAAAAATCAACTATTTATACCAGTCGTCCGGAAGAGTGGTGCCATTTTTTCGAGCAATCGCGTTTAGCACTTTTTGAGCTTCATCGAGCTTCCCTTTCGTGATCAGCCAGCGAGGACTTTCAATAGTGTACCTGAAGAATTGAAGGTGTGCAATCAAAATTTTCATGAAAAAAAAAAACATACACAAATGATAGAATGAGAATGCCGGAGATTATTGCAATTGCGATATGAAGATCATGAAAGTTCACAAAAAAATAAGCAAGGATTGCCAACACAATTCCCCCAATAGCGCTGGCGATGTTAGCAAATGTTGACACATGCCTACGATACTGCGAGCAATTCGTTTCGAAGCCGATCACGGAGCCAACACTGTAGAGTCCGGAATGGGATAATCCGCCGAAGAACCTTAATTAGTCAGCTATATGGGAATAATACAATTGAATATTACTTGACCCAGGCATAAAATTTCCATGAGCCAGCAAAGCACATTAGAATCCCTGATAATATATTGATGACGATGGAAGCGCGATAAACCGGAACGCGACCAACTCTGAAAACCCAAATTGAATTTTTTAAATAAGCTTTTGATTCTAATTACATGTCAGCGAGTATCCCGCATATATATGAGCTGAACAATTGGCCAATAAAATATGCGCCCTGCATTATTGCGCGACGGTACGCATAATCACCGGAGATATCCCACTGGAAATGAGAAGCCTTGGGCAATGTGAGAAGTGAATTCTTACGAGATCCGAGGCGGAGAGTGCGTTTGCAACACAATCATTGTTTGTCAGACCGTCTTGGCATATATCGTGCGAGGATTCAACCATGAACGTGAAACACAGCGAGTATATGGACGCCGTTCCACTGCTAGCAGAAAGCATCGCAAACGGGCTGATTGGCTTCTTTCTCCATAAGCCATCAATGAGCTCGTCAACACTTTTGTGGGTTGGCGTCGGCTGGCATTTTCTGAAATTTCTTTCATTTTCATCAATTATTTGAATATTCTTACTTTTCTTCAGAGTCCAACAAATTCTCATCTGCATTACTAGTGACTCCATTAAGCTCAATCTCATCGACCTCAGATACTGTAGACATCTGAGAATAAGTATGGTTCGACGTTTTTTCTGTGTTCAAAAAAAAAAAAAAGAAAAATGATTAAACTGATGGAAAATGTATTCAAGAAGAAGTGTTTCGTTGAATATTTAACATTGCATTATTATTGATTGTGGGAATACAGGGAAAAAATTGCGGCGAGCGGCGCTCGCGTTGGAGAAAACTCACAAAAATGTAGGGCGACACAATAAGAAAACGATTCGAGTCGGCACGCCGAAAAAAAATGCATAAAAATGAGGCATGTACGTACAATCGGACCATGGGAAAATATGTATAACAGAAATATTGAAAATGGGAATATTTTAAATTGAATCCTTCTAGATCCTACAACTAGATGCTTAAAATCATTAAGCTATTGATGGCAATAAAAATTGACAATGCAGGCAGTTGGGAAGTCGAGAAGTAAGACATGTTCAATACATGACTCACGAATGGTTGCGAAATGACGGCAGCCAATCAGAAGACACGACAGTGATATACATACATATACCAGAATACGATACCAAACAGAAGCTGCCTTTTATTATGCCCGAATGAACCGTTCGAAAATAATTGCAATAATATGGAGCTACATAAAAGTTGTTGCTTCAAAACCAACAACTCAACTTCCCAAAAATAATTTTTCACGTTTAAAAAATGATGATAGAAAATTTGCCACAAAGTTGGAGTATAGTCGGCTGGCGAGTTCTGTCTGACTATTATATCAATTTTGTTTCATAAGGGTTCCAGTCGAATTTTCGATTTTTTTTGTGCCGGTCCGTTTTGCACACGGTCCAAAAACAATTCAACATTTAATTTTTAGGCGTTTTTAGATAATTTCGATGAATTCTTTAAAAAAAACCGCATCAAGTATGTGACAATAAAAACTCAAAAAATAATTTTCGATAAATATTGTTGAATAAGAACATTTGAAATAAATGGGAATGCAATTTAGTCAACCTCCAAAAAACCGATCTCTGTCATTTAATACTTTTTCTAATATCCAGGGGCCGTAAAAATTGATCCTCACCGTAAGGAATCACAAAAGACCACTCATAACGATGTCTTCCTCCAACGCGACTCGATGGGACAAGACAAAAAATTTTTGCAAATGGTAGGTCTACTTGTTCATATACACAAATGGGTAAGGAATTTCAGAACGTTGGATCATTGCTTGTCGAGGTCTTGGTGCGCACCGTAGCCTATTAAAAATTTATGGCGCGAATAGAAAGCGTCGCGTATTTTATTTCTTCTCGTAATTTTTATACCTTTTTGTACATGCTCTCTTGTAATACGAAATAAAATCATAAAACCACAAAAAATTTTGGAACAAAACATCGCTCATAAAAACTGAATATTAAAAAAAATAATATGAGATAATAATAGCGAATAGGAGCAACCGGCAAAAATTGAAACAAGCTTTTTTTAAATTGAAATAACTCAAACGGTATTAATCAGGAAATACGTGATTTCATACTAATTCTTAAAAATAGATGGAAAAATTCTGTGATAGTATGAAATAAAAAGTTTTGTGTTAATATATTTATAAACTAACTATTATTCGCTAATTAATTAAATATTTTTGTTAACCTTTGAAGACTTGATAGTCAATTCCAGAATGTATTTTGGAATTTATTGTATTTTTTCCACTTGTATTATGTGTGCTTCGCTAATTCGTAATTTTCAAGTAAAATCGAATAACGTTATTAATTATATGTCAAAACTCCGCCCATTTCAGTTGGCGAGGGTGAAGCTTATCGAGCTCTTTTTCGTCTATACTTCTCTCGCCAAATTCTGCGATGCACTCAGCTCACTCGAAATGTTGCCAGTCGACCGACATATTATTTTCTAGCGGTGGTGCTCCGTTTCCCGTCCGGTTTTTATTGAGCTGCCTACACCTTTTCTTAAAATGGTGAGGCACCCACTAAAAACCCGATGGGTTCGTGTGGGCGATTTTGCGTATTTCATCTATTATTCGTGTTGGCTGAAAGACTACTTCACCAACAGTCTGGTGCCCAGAAATGGTTCATCATACATGAAATTATGATGACAATTTCTTGGCATCAGACGGATGGTCGAAGAATTTCATAAAATTAACAGTTACTGAAAATGCTCAAAAAAGGAACAATTCAATTTATTTTGCTGTCTAGAAAATTAATTGAGTCAAAAACCAAATTTGGTGTAATAGTTCATATAATAATGACAACCAAAGTTTCATCAAAAATTTGTGTCTAGAATTGAAGTGTCTTATTCACAGACAACAGGTAACACATTTTAAATACAAAAATGTTCAAATTGGATTTATAATAAGTTAATCGGAATTTGGCTTTAAAAATTAACAAAAATATCAATTTCAAGACACTTTCAATAAAATTATTGGCAAAAAATTCTAGTTGGAATATTTTTTTCACATTAACTAGCGTCAACCACAAGACTTTTATCTGAATTTTTGAAAACCCTTAAATCTCTTATCAAAATTTTAAAAATGGAAAAAAATAAATTATGCTGGAAGGAATGAGCCATCCCTTTGTTGCCTTCAAACGAATGAGCCGCCAATTTGTGCATTTTTTGAAGGGTGGGTCGCGTTTTGACGGTTTGTGGAGCATTGTGTTGTGCGAAAATTTATATTCCATTATTCCGTCATCCGGCATTGTTCTCTAACGAATTCAACCCTTATTCGGGAGCGATTCGTTCAAATCGGGGTTTTTTTTTTATTTAAGATTTCTCCGTTTATGCAGCAAGTCACAATTTTAGTAACGATTGAATTTTGATCCAAATGAGTCATTTATCACAAGGCGGCTGTACTTTTTGAATTTCACGTTCATTGCTCAAATTTGGAAAAGTGCACGTGATGTGCTACATAAGGACATCGCCGTAAAAGTGCATTAAGCTCCGTGTCACGATAAACCTTTAGGAGTTTAGTACAAAATCAGAAAACAATTAAAGGGATCCTTAATTGTTGAAATTGTAAATTTGGAAATATTCATTAATTCAGCAATAGTTATAATATAATTATAACATTAAATGTTTTTTTTGTTGATAATGGAACTAACAAAAAATAAAAAGAATTGAAACAGGTTTAAAGCAATTTTTTCCACAAGATGCAGTAGTATCAAAAGAAAAAAATAGAGATCAAAATTTCATTGCATTTATCTTATTCCTAGTGGATTTTTTTTAGCGTTCAAAATTAATTTCATTTAATTCTTAAAAGTATTTCTCAGAAATATTCGACGAACATGCAGTCTGTCCCGCAAAACAGTAGCTTTCGCGCTGCAGTTCTTGAATCCGAGATTGACTACTATCGAAACAAAATGGTGAATTTTAAACGTTTTCTGCAATCATTTAGACTTTCAGAGAAATTTGGAGGGTCTCAATCGTCGCTGCGGCGGTGCGATTTGTCCGAATTTCTCCGAATATGTTCTCCAATTCGTTCGCTTGTTCGATGGGATGCGTCTTTGCGCCGATGATTATCGTCGCGGCTTCGGTGATCCGACTAGAGCAAGAGTAGGTCACTGTCTTGTATTCATTCGCAGATGATTTTAAGCAAACATTCAATTGTTCGAAACATTTGAAAAAAAAAAAAACATTTTTCAGATGCTCATAACGGAATCGACAATTCTCTACAGTCGAGTCGAGCAACATTTTCAACCGATCTTCCGATGGGCTCGATACGACAATTCCTAATTGGTCAAATTAAAACATTTTTAATCTATGCTTTAGAAGTTGCCCGAAATCCACAATTGTATTTTTTCTGAAAATCAAATTATAAAAATATTTGTAACAATTAAATAGTTGGGAAATTTTAAAGAAGCAAAGTGGGCAATTTGATTTTCAAGTATATATATCATATCTGCAACCATATATGAATGACGATCCCTAGGACCCACTTTTGACACGTTTTAGTAACATTTCATGAAATACCAGACCACTATAATGATTTTCTGAAATTATCAAAAATTTCGAAATCGGACCCCCATAGGAACCCCTATAACACCTTTGACACGTTTTAGTAACATTTCCTGAAATACCAGACCACTATAATGATTTTCTGAAATTATCAAAAATTTCGAAATCGGACCCCCATAGGACCCCCTATAACACCTTTGACACGTTTTAGTAATATTTTCTGAAATATCAGACCACTAGGATCATTTTCCGAAATTTTCAAAAATTTCGAATTCGGACCCCCTAGGACCCCCTATACCACTTTTGAGACGTTCGAGTAACATTTTCTGAAATACCAGACCACTAGGATCATTTTCCGAAATTTTCAAAAATTTCGAATTCGGACCCCCTAGGACCCCCTATACCACTTTTGAGACGTTCGAGTAACATTTCCTGAAATACCAGACCACTAGGATCATTTTCCGAAATTTTCAAAAATTTCGAATTCGGACCCCTAGGACCCCCTATACCACTTTTGAGACGTTCGAGTAACATTTTCTGAAATACCAGACCACTAGGATCATTTTCCGAAATTTTCAAAAATTTCGAATTCGGACCCCCTAGGACCCCCCATAACACCTTTGACACGTTTTAGTAATATTTTCTGAAATATCAGACCACTAGGATCATTTTCCGAAATTTTCAAAAATTTCGAATTCGGACCCCCTAGGACCCCCCAATACCACTTTTGAGACGTTCGAGTAACATTTTCTGAAATACCAGACCACTAGGATCATTTTCCGAAATTTTCAAAAATTTCGAATTCGGACCCCCTAGGACCCCCATAACACCTTTGACACGTTTTAGTAATATTTTCTGAAATATCAGACCACTAGGATCATTTTCCGAAATTTTCAAAAATTTCGAATTCGGACCCCCTAGGACCCCCTATACCACTTTTGAGACGTTCGAGTAACATTTTCTGAAATACCAGACCACTAGGATCATTTTCCGAAATTTTCAAAAATTTCGAATTCGGACCCCCTAGGACCCCCCTATACCACTTTTGAGACGTTCGAGTAACATTTTCTGAAATACCAGACCACTAGGATCATTTTCCGAAATTTTCAAAAATTTCGAATTGAATTCGGACCCCCTAGGACCCCCCATAACACCTTTGACACGTTTTAGTAACATTTCCTGAAATACCAGACCACTATAATGATTTTCTGAAATTATCAAAAATTTCGAAATCGGACCCCCATAGGACCCCCTATAACACCTTTGACACGTTTTAGTAATATTTTCTGAAATATCAGATCACTAGGATCATTTTCCGAAATTTTCAAAAATTTCGAATTCGGACCCCCCTAGGACCCCCCTATACCACTTTTGAGACGTTCGAGTAACATTTCCTGAAATACCAGACCACTAGGATCATTTTCCGAAATTTTCAAAAATTTCGAATTCGGACCCCCTAGGACCCCCTATACCACTTTTGCGACGTTCGAGTAACATTTCCTGAAATACCAGACCACTAGGATCATTTTCCGAAATTTTCAAAAATTTCGAATTCGGACCCCCCTAGGACCCCCTATACCACTTTTGAGACGTTCGAGTAACATTTTCTGAAATACCAGACCACTAGGATCATTTTCCGAAATTTTCAAAAATTTCGAATTCGGACCCCCTAGGACCCCCCATAACACCTTTGACACGTTTTAGTAATATTTTCTGAAATATCAGACCACTAGGATCATTTTCCGAAATTTTCAAAAATTTCGAATTCGGACCCCCTAGGACCCCCCAATACCACTTTTGAGACGTTCGAGTAACATTTTCTGAAATACCAGACCACTAGGATCATTTTCCGAAATTTTCAAAAATTTCGAATTCGGACCCCCCTAGGACCCCCCATAACACCTTTGACACGTTTTAGTAATATTTTCTGAAATATCAGACCACTAGGATCATTTTCCGAAATTTTCAAAAATTTCGAATTCGGACCCCCTAGGACCCCCTATACCACTTTTGAGACGTTCGAGTAACATTTCCTGAAATACCAGACCACTAGGATCATTTTCCGAAATTTTCAAAAATTTCGAATTCGGACCCCCTAGGACCCCCTATACCACTTTTGAGACGTTCGAGTAACATTTTCTGAAATACCAGACCACTAGGATCATTTTCCGAAATTTTCAAAAATTTCGAATTCGGACCCCCTAGGACCCCCCATAACACCTTTGACACGTTTTAGTAATATTTTCTGAAATATCAGACCACTAGGATCATTTTCCGAAATTTTCAAAAATTTCGAATTCGGACCCCCCTAGGACCCCCCTATACCACTTTTGAGACGTTCGAGTAACATTTTCTGAAATACCAGACCACTAGGATCATTTTCCGAAATTTTCAAAAATTTCGAATTCGGACCCCCTAGGACCCCCTATACCACTTTTGAGACGTTCGAGTAACATTTTCTGAAATACCAGACCACTAGGATCATTTTCCGAAATTTTCAAAAATTTCGAATTCGGACCCCCTAGGACCCCCTATACCACTTTTGAGACGTTCGAGTAACATTTTCTGAAATACCAGACCACTAGGATCATTTTCCGAAATTTTCAAAAATTTCGAATTCGGACCCCCTAGGACCCCCCATAACACCTTTGACACGTTTTAGTAACATTTTCTGAAATACCAGACCACTAGGATCATTTTCCGAAATTTTCAAAAATTTCGAATTCGGACCCCCCTAGGACCCCCCATAACACCTTTGACACGTTTTAGTAATATTTTCTGAAATATCAGACCACTAGGATCATTTTCCGAAATTTTCAAAAATTTCGAATTCGGACCCCCTAGGACCCCCTATACCACTTTTGAGACGTTCGAGTAACATTTTCTGAAATACCAGACCACTAGGATCATTTTCCGAAATTTTCAAAAATTTCGAATTCGGACCCCCTAGGACCCCCTATACCACTTTTGAGACGTTCGAGTAACATTTTCTGAAATACCAGACCACTAGGATCATTTTCCGAAATTTTCAAAAATTTCGAATTCGGACCCCCTAGGACCCCCCATAACACCTTTGACACGTTTTAGTAATATTTTCTGAAATATCAGACCACTAGGATCATTTTCCGAAATTTTCAAAAATTTCGAATTCGGACCCCCTAGGACCCCCTATACCACTTTTGAGACGTTCGAGTAACATTTTCTGAAATACCAGACCACTAGGATCATTTTCCGAAATTTTCAAAAATTTCGAATTCGGACCCCCTAGGACCCCCTATACCACTTTTGAGACGTTCGAGTAACATTTTCTGAAATACCAGACCACTAGGATCATTTTCCGAAATTTTCAAAAATTTCGAATTCGGACCCCCTAGGACCCCCCATAACACCTTTGACACGTTTTAGTAACATTTTCTGAAATACCAGACCACTATAATGATTTTCTGAAATTATCAAAAATTTCGAAATCGGACCCCCATAGGACCCCCTATAACACCTTTGACACGTTTTAGTAATATTTTCTGAAATATCAGATCACCTAGGATCATTTTCCGAAATTTTCAAAAATTTCGAATTCGGACCCCCTAGGACCCCCTATACCACTTTTGAGACGTTTGAGTAACATTTTCTGAAATACCAGACCACTAGGATCATTTTCCGAAATTTTCAAAAATTTCGAATTCGGACCCCCTAGGACCCCCTATACCACTTTTGCGACGTTCGAGTAACATTTCCTGAAATACCAGACCACTAGGATCATTTTCCGAAATTTTCAAAAATTTCGAATTCGGACCCCCCTAGGACCCCCTATACCACTTTTGAGACGTTCGAGTAACATTTTCTGAAATACCAGACCACTAGGATCATTTTCCGAAATTTTCAAAAATTTCGAATTCGGACCCCCTAGGACCCCCCATAACACCTTTGACACGTTTTAGTAATATTTTCTGAAATATCAGACCACTAGGATCATTTTCCGAAATTTTCAAAAATTTCGAATTCGGACCCCCTAGGACCCCCCAAATACCACTTTTGAGACGTTCGAGTAACATTTTCTGAAATACCAGACCACTAGGATCATTTTCCGAAATTTTCAAAAATTTCGAATTCGGACCCCCTAGGACCCCCCATAACACCTTTGACACGTTTTAGTAATATTTTCTGAAATATCAGACCACTAGGATCATTTTCCGAAATTTTCAAAAATTTCGAATTCGGACCCCCTAGGACCCCCTATACCACTTTTGAGACGTTCGAGTAACATTTCCTGAAATACCAGACCACTAGGATCATTTTCCGAAATTTTCAAAAATTTCGAATTCGGACCCCCCTAGGACCCCCCTATACCACTTTTGAGACGTTCGAGTAACATTTCCTGAAATACCAGACCACTAGGATCATTTTCCGAAATTTTCAAAATTTCGAATTCGGACCCCCTAGGACCCCCCATAACACCTTTGACACGTTTTAGTAATATTTTCTGAAATATCAGACCACTAGGATCATTTTCCGAAATTTTCAAAAATTTCGAATTCGGACCCCCTAGGACCCCCTATACCACTTTTGAGACGTTCGAGTAACATTTTCTGAAATACCAGACCACTAGGATCATTTTCCGAAATTTTCAAAAATTTCGAATTCGGACCCCCTAGGACCCCCTATACCACTTTTGAGACGTTCGAGTAACATTTTCTGAAATACCAGACCACTAGGATCATTTTCCGAAATTTTCAAAAATTTCGAATTCGGACCCCCTAGGACCCCCCATAACACCTTTG